ATTCATACCACGTAATACAGTTACACTGTAATGACAAAGGGATGCAACATTGTTGAAGGGAATGAAGAATAATAACATTTCAAGGCTGTATCTGAAGATATAATATCGTATGTTCCAACACTCTTAGACCACAACGGGATGATTACATCCTCTATCATTAACACAATACCTTTATAAAAGCTCTGCTGTTATCATAATATTTAGAATCCGATGTTGAAATTTTGAAAGACACATCTAGAGAACATACTTTCTTTTTAGACAGCCAGGTGTATTGCAACCTAACCATTTTCAAAATTAGAAATATACTCATTCAGTAATTTCAGAGTCCAAGAAATTGGTACTTCAGATGTGGATTCACAATACCAAATATCAAAAACTGTATCAAGGTACGAAGTCGATAGAGTAAATTAGTAAGTCAGTTTATACGAGATATTTCCAAAGATATTGGACAGACTGTTAATTGTATCGGCAGGAATTTCATCTATATGCGTTGCGTAGGTCAGATGGTTATTTCCGATATGTTAGTGAGGTAGCTTCCAATGGCACAATATTCGTTCTTTCGAAAAATACAATAGTGTTGCATATTGCTTAGTTATCAAAACTCATTGATATACTTTCTAAAACGAGTTTTAGTAAACTGCTATCATTGATTCTTTTGTGAATATTAAAGTCGAGTCCCCAATCACTTGCTAGTGTCAAAATAGGGTTTTAAGTCCATACAGGTTTAACGTTAGCAGCACGGCAAAATAGAAGCAGCCTTTTGTTCAAAGTCATTGATTAATTGGTTTGGTCAATACGTTTAAATTGGCAGTTGCAGTTAGAAGCCAACTGAGATGAGTATATACAAGCACCTCATCACGGGACTTACCCCAAAGGCAATTACAAACATCTGATCGAGTTGCTCACCACAGTTAGGAACTTGAATCAGGAGTTTGTGCTTGAAGTTATGGTTAGGTATTCGAGTTATGATTTTCATGAATTAACTTCAGTTTTTATCCTAAAATACAATTTAGCCGTACGGGGGAATAAATTTCAAAGAAGGGTACGCTAATGTACTATTTATATCCCAATAAAGTAATATTTTTAGTTCGAGTTTGGGTACTATTCTTTTTTGTTCGTTGGACTATACTCAAACGTTGTAGATTAAGCGACTTCATGAACATGACCCATTTATCAATTTCCGATGTCAGGGATTAGTATTATAGTCAAAATCTCTAATTACATAAGGGTATACACATATATTCACTAGGCTTGTTTAGAAGCACGTAAAAGAAAATGAAAAAGTTTTGAATTAAAAAGTCCGTTTCAATGTAGCCTGTTGTATTGCTCAAATTTCACTACTTTCGCTACGTTTATTTAAACTTGTAATATAAAACGTCTCACGAGCATAAAATCTCATCATCTAGGAGATTTCTGAACTTCATTAGGTCATAGAATAGACAAGAATATCGATAAAAAAAGGTGTTCATAATAGTGAGTTTTTTAATTTCAGCATAACAGGTTATGACCGACTTCGGGATATTTTAAAGTGTTTTTAGTCACCGATTTCTAAAATCTGGGTGGCATCGCCGAAGAACTATTTTTTTAATAATTTTTATACCAGTAATCAGATCGATGCTACATTCTCATCTCCAACATGAGCTCCAGAATATTTTATTATATCTGCACCTAGTTAAAGATGTGCACTTATCTTCACACTTGGACATAAAAACAGTGCAACCAACCGCATACAAATATATGATCAGTATCTACCTTGCATTTGGCTGAAGATTAAGTGTAAAACAAAATCATCGTTTGGCTAAATTAAGTTCAGTATTAGGCATCTCTTTTAGTCGTCATCTTAGTAGTGGTCTCAGATTTGTTCAGTCTTACAGAATAAGTCATCTATCAGTGCATCAAACCTGTTTAGCATCAATAACTCAGTTATCTGATTATCTACTCATTCTGTTATCCTGCTTTTCATCATATATTTACACCTTTACCTGTCGTTTTTCGAAGATTAAGATCTAATGTAGTGCGTAGTTGTAACATCGCATATCGAGCTAGTCGGATAATAATGTGATTTATATTACAGTACGCCTGTCCTTATCACAATCAGACAATTGTCTTTGAAACTTTGATTGTATTTGTTGGCAGCGCCATATAAATAACGTCGAGATCTAGCAATGTTCCGGGACGCTGTTAATTCAGTTTGTTTCTCCATATTGAAACACATCTCTAGTAGCTTAGATATATTTTACGAATGTCGTTTCTGGAGTTTCTACACTAAAAAATAGTATTTAACTCTGAAGTCAAATGGATGAAATTGAGGTGTGGTTAGTTTATAAAATATCATGGTGGAATGTTGGATAGGTGTATAGGACTAACAATCGTTAATCCCCCAGTCCGGTTATTCGATATAATTCGACTCACTGAATTGAAGCGTTTTCTGTTAATAGGACCTGGAGTCTTTGAATGTTTATATCTTTTTTTAAGTTGATTCAGTCGTGATTACCATAGTAAAAGCTCGTGATTAACATTTGGGCGGAATAAAATTTGTTTTTAAATCAGTCGTAAACTGTGTTTGCTCATGAAATTGTCAGTATTCTTCCTAGGATTTATTTATTTAGGACTGTTGGCTTAAATTACACCATTTAATTGGCGTTTATAGACTGTCTGACAGACATTTTACTGCTAGCTGTGGACAGTTTGTTTTGAAACAAAGGAAAGTCATTTAAGTTACCAGTAGGGACTCATTGATAGCTAGTCAAGTGGCAAGTACTGCTGTTCACAGTTTTCATATTACAGCATGCTTTTGTCCAATACTTTTTTCGACACAGCCACAACCGATGAACTACCCAGAATCATCTCCATACTTCATACAGCAATCAGCTACTAGTTACAAGAATGTGAAAAGAACTTCCACTCTTTTTGAGCTACCTAACTGATTTTCTAATATGCTCTAGCATGTGCCAAAACCATATTGCGTTTCGATGACGGACGGGTTCTTCTTTTTAAGTAGATCGGTATAACGCATCTCTTGGAGCTAAATACTCTAGGTCTTTTCTTACTCGGTGATTCCCTTTTGGATAAGCAGATAGATAACATAATCTTGTTAAACATAAACCGTAGCAGGATGCTAGGTTTTATAAGTGAATCAGTGGGAAGTCTACCAATAGTCTGTGTTTAGAACTATTAGAATTTAAGGTCACACTATTGGAATAATCGTCTTCCACAAATTTGTAGATAGGGAGTGGAGTGGTTTAGCATGTTGATAATTATATATATGTCAGTTATATCAACCCTGATTCAGCTCCTAGAGATAAGCATTTACGTACACAGAAAGCTTGTTTACAGTTGGTGAATCTACCTACCCCGTTCCACTGAAAACATCTGACTCTACCAAATGAAGGGCATACTCGATAACAGTGCATTATCTTTAATGGTGTATCAGACGGCTATTGATTAGGTTGGAGTAACTGAAAGAAGACGTGATATGAACTGAGTCTGTCAGTTGTGTGTCGAAATACAGACTGCATGAGCTAGGTCCTTAGAGGTTAGAATTCAATGGCTACTGAGTTCTATTAACATAGAAATGTTGAAAATAGAACAACTCTTTGCCTTATGAGTCCCAAGTACCGTATTATTCTTGATTTACTTGTCTTCTTTAGATGTTTCTCTTGTTTTAAATACTTTTTCTCTATTTATGCTTTTTAAACTGACTCACTTTTGTTCTGGGTTCATCAATACATACCTGCTTATCTCCTGTCTTACCTGTATACTTCATAAATCCTTTTGTCATTTATCCTAGTTAACAACTTATATCACAATATTAACACAGTCGAGTACAATATACGACTGCATAATTCCCATGTGGTTAGAGATTTTTAGTCGTCAACTAAGTTTAGCTATCTGGATTAGTTGTTTATTAAATTATAACCAGTTATTTTACAATGGAAGGACAATACTGCCTGGAATATCACTGACCTGTGTGTAGCTTATAAATCAAGAATTTGGTAGTATAATTACCTACAATACACTAGTAGCTATTTTTGACCACTCAAATTGTTTCTAGATATCAGTTAACATGGGTTTCGCTCAACATAGTTAAACTGAAACACTAAAGTTGGCAGAACTGACCTCTTCATAAAAGGTATGTTGTCAGATGTAAAGAAGAACATAGATATTTATTAACAGCTGAAAATACATGTGATTTTAGTATATATATATATATATATATATATATATATATATAATTTCAGCAAACATGTTTTGTACTGTAGTACAAAAATCAATATCCAAAACCAATCTGTGAAATCAATAATAGATCCATATATTTGCTCACCAAAATACGATGTTTTCATTATGAAGCTAACTACTCACCTAGATAAAAATGTTTGATTTGTTCTTCAAAAAATATGGTTTGTGCTATCAACAAGCAATAAAAGAAGATATACTTATTATTATTTCAGCTATTTGTGGAATTTATGCGTTTCTTGAGGACTTTTACTGATTCTTTATATTTGAAATAATCTCAGCGATTGAAATTTAAATAATTCCAATGTTTCGTCCAGAAAACTTGTCTGGACTTCCTCAGAGCAATAATCAAGATCATCAAAGAAATATATATATATATATATAGGCAATATATTTCTTTGGTGATTTTGATCATTGATCTGAAGAAGCCCAGATTGGTTTTCTGGACGAAACTAAGGGATTATTTGAATTTTAACCAGTGAGATTACTTCAAATATAATGACTTCTTTATACTTGGTGCCCAATTTTTGTCAAATCAATCGTCCTAATATTGATGAATATTCGTATAAATTTTTGGTGTTTGTTTTAAAACGGATTTAACTTTTAGGTTGTGAATTTTTGAAAAAACCCAACGACAGTATTCAATTGTAAATTAAGAACATTCGACTATTGGGTTTACTATTCATCTTTCATTTAATATTTATAACCAATGACAGCCTAAACCAATTAAATCCTCCATTAATCGATTCCTGGAGCAAAAACAGTCGTATATAGTTTGTGTATTAAGGTACGCATGTTAAGTACTAACCCGAGGCTGTTTCTGAATAATCTGTGCCCCACTTTTAAAGCATTCTTATTAATATAATTGCCTTTTATTAACTAAAGTACTTATTTTACGTACAAATGTTGTGTAATCTGTTTTATCTTGTTACTTATATTACATTTCTTTATCCGTATATGCTGTTTAGATTCAGATATGAGTGATGAGTTTTAACTTTCCAAAATTATGTTCAATAGATCCTAATTATTCGATTTAGTTGTTATATTAGACGTGATTGTTAGACAACTAAGATCATGGTGCTAGTTAATGTGTTTTGTGTTTAGACCAAATCATTTAGTTTCAGAATAAGTCAACCACTACTGAGTTAGTTAATGCAAACTCAAAATTCATAAATGACTAACTATCCTTCACATTTGGGAATTGAGCCTTTTGGTTAGGTTTGACAAATATTGCATCTTGTTCGATGGTGTTATCTTTGTTATTTTGAGGAACAAAATCTAATGTACCGCACTTATAAGTTACCTGAGAATTGAGAGATCAATAAATTATATTGTTACATTTTAGTCAACACTCAGCATTAGATGTATGAGAGATATTAACCAAGATGTGATAGCTAATTGCAGTCCTGTACTAAAGTTTGAAGAGATGGATATTTATTTTCAGAATGCGTGTTATTAAGAGGGGTTTAGGACGTTATGATGATGTAAATTCGGAGTTGTTAAAGTAATGGATAGAATACTAACCGGTGGATACTCAGTAACATAATGTGTTTGACTTATAACTATCCTTATAACTGGATTATCGAAGTAAGACTGATATTAAGAGCGAACACAGCTACCCAGCAGAACGAGTTTTTTTCCAGTCAAATAAGATATGCACAAAGTACTGAGCTGGCAAATCAACATCACTAAATGTCTTTTAATACATAAGTGATCAGATGATACAAACGCTGTAGGTCACCCAGAAGCCAATGAAACTGAAGTTCGACTCTCAGACTACTCTGTATCAGCGTAAAGTTCTGTTTCAATGTGTTTATTTAAAAAAATAATCACTTCGGATAAATCCCATAATGCCTTTGTTTTTTAGATCGTGAACTACAATGAATGCAACAAGTTATAACGGAGTGGATGGTAAGGATGAAATTCTATCCTCCTTGGAAAAATTATCTAAAACGGAACTTGAAGCCTTATTATCTGATCATGAAGGCATAAAGAAACTGGCTAAAAATTGTCCCGATGTAAGTGTTATGAAATGTTCCCTATTAAACACTTACCTTTTTTTCTGAAAAACATTAGATTAAAAAGATCGAGTCTGACAAAGAAGCCTGCATGAATGAGAATCGACGTCAAGCTGAAGCAAATCTATCTATGGAGCCAACTTTTAATATGATCAAAACAGAGCTCGTGGAAACTTATTCTAATTATAAACAATTAGAAATTGAATATATGAAACGTAAATCAGAAGTTGGTAAGTCTTGCACAATACTTGGACATTTAAAATAAAGACAATATCGGTACAAAATACTCTCCGAGTGTAATTCTTGCTTTATTACAAACTGCCAATGCTCAAGCAGAGGAACAGTCTGAAGTATGTTGTCATTTCCCTCATTTCTTAATTTCTAGGAACTGGCTAGTCGATTTCTTGACAAAGCCATGGATGTTGATGCATTTTTGAAAGATTTTATTCCTCTTCGTAAACTATGTAATGAACGTAGATTTAAATGTGAAAAGTTAGCGGAACAAATATCATCCGGTCATATAAGGGTGTCAAACTTTACCAATGCTCCTCATTCGTCATATGTACCTAATGTGATGATGAATTCAGATGTGTCAGGCAGTACATCACAACTTTATCCTTCATTACTATCTCTAAGTAGTACCAATGACCATTTGTCACCAACTTATGGCTTTAAAATATAAACATGTTGAGTAAATGTATGTTTGTTTGTGCTTTCCTTTGTGCATGTAACCAAATATTAGTTTTAATCATTTCCTTTTGTCAATCAAATGGCACATTGGATTAATAAACGACTATACAATTAGTCACGATTTATATTCAGCGGCGATGTGCTGAGATTGAACTCTTTAACAATATTATTAACTACTCAGATTTAATTGTTTTTATATTGCTCACCAGAACAGTTAAAACAAAACAAAAAAACTGTACGTTGTCTTTATTCAATTTCTTTTCAACCGACTTTAATATTGTATTTTTTTGTAAGGAACTAGACCAAATTATCACATTCATTGTATTTATGTCCATATTAGAAAAAAATTATTTAAATGAGATAATCTTTTGCTATCATTTCTTTCTTGTAGTTCTAAATAAGTGGCTTACTTTGAAGATAGCTTAGTAGTTAAAGCATTGGGCCTCCAACCAACATGTCCCTAGTTCGAACTCTCCCTCATCCACTTGCGGAGCTGCTTTATAGTACTAGCTTTCATATAAAGTGTGACTCAAAACCAAAATCAGAGATGCCTGTACTTGGTAAGTGAAAAATTATTGGATGTAGTTGACTTAAAGAAAAAGACACGTTACCAGGCTTTAAGTTGCAATTTGTGGAAACAGTATCTGAATGTTTAACTCGAAGTTGGTTGGACCAGTTTCAAACATAAGAACTACTTTTTAAATCTCGAGTTGTTAAGCCACTCAATTACAGACGTCTGTGTGTATTCATGTTTCGGATTAGTTGTTTAAAATTTATTGCTATTATTTGGACAAGAGATAAGTAGTCTCAGACGTTTTACTCTGGAACATGAAAGTAAAAATGATATGGAAATGATACCAATAAATTTCTTCCTTTGTCATAGTTTCTGGTAATATTTTTAAAATATTAAACATTTAAAATGGACAAAATCTATTCTGGTTATTATTCCCATCACTAACTAATTGATATATTTATTTAGTTGACTAGATACTGAATAGCGTAAAGAAAATTTTTTATTCTGAATAATTTAAATGTTCCGATTCTTAGTAACATGTTTTAGAAAGACTTCAAAGTTCTCACTGCTTCTCTACATCATCAATAGGTTAAGTTGTTAGATCAACGTCTGTGAAATAATTTTTCTTGTGAAAGAATTAATACTGAATAAAATAACTTTGAGGAAAGGGAACTAAGTTTCAAATACTATATAAAATTTTACTGAATAACAGATAGTGTGTTGATATAAAATAAGTTCCTGTAAAAAAACGTACTGATGACAAAAATCAATGCAAGCAGCTGTCCAGTGCTTCCAGGTTTTCAGTGGTGACCTGACATTGGTCCGTTTATGATTTCAATGAAGTAAAGGTAAGAAATGAATAATTATTAATTCAGCAGTTTATTAGATTCTACTGCAACAATACTTTCCCGTACAAAATGAACGACTACAATAACGAGCAACTTCTTTAAAAGCTAGTCAAAACAGAGATTATATGATTCTTGTGAGGTGAAAAGGATGAAATTACAGCCGGGACTTATAATGGTCAGAGTTGTATACCAATGAAATTAGTGGTATGGATAGAAGTGGCTGAACTAATAATTTGCCTACAAAACTGGATTCAACCGAATGATGAAAACACTAAACAACTGACTGATTATGCGATGTTTTATATTAAGCAATTTAAAATGTAATTTGTGTTCAAAATATTGAGTCAGTCACAACGTACATCTTCGTACATCAGTTCGAGTTGCTATACCACATTAGCACAGAGAGGCAGTTGTCGATTCAAATCCCATAGTGGTATAATTAGTAAAATTATAAGCAGTAATCCGAAAGATTAGGGTTTGAAGATGTTATTCAAGGAGTATAATCCAGTGAAATAAATTTGGAAAGAAAAAAGAAAGGGACATGAAGAATTCAGAAGATTAGAATTTGGGAGAACACAAAGAGTGGACGCACCTTCGCCACTGTAAACGATTTTGAGCTATGTCATTCAAGGTCTCTAACCATCGGTTGTTATCATCTCGCGGGTCCCAACCAAGTAGTCTACACCTACCAACATGGCTCAGTTCACTTGTCAGTAACTCCATGGATTTGTGCCACGTTTTGGTCTGGCCACCCCTAGCTTTCTTCCAACCTACGTATACATCATAAAACATTGCACGTCGGTGGTTGAGCATACGTAACACATGTCCCAGCCATCTCAACGGACGAAGCTTCACTACTTCATCAATTGATTTGCCATTCTTACCTAGTATCCGTTTCCTAACAACTGCATTACTTACTCGGTGATCCCAGGATATACGAGCAATGTTTCGAAGACACCTATGATCGAATACTAGTAGCCTACGAATATCCTCTACTCTTACCGGCCATGGTTAACTGCCATCAAAATATTGAACTAAGGCGTATTGTAACTTGTCATACGGCACATAATTAAGCTACTAAGATTAAAAGTGAGGGTGATAATATAGTTTGAGAAGCTCATTTCTGTTTGTTGTAGCGTAATCGAAGCAAGTCACATTGTTGTAGTCAAAGAGTTGAAAATCACATTGATAAATTAGATGAACAAACAAATACTTGGATTACACAAACATAACAAATGTCGAAAAGGGATATATTCTGGAAGGTCCGTGACCTCTTATGTTTTTACGACAAATGTATATACCAATCGACAATAACATGTAAGTTCCTGCATCAGACTGTGAAGGTTACAATTATCTAGAAATAAATATCTGATCTCATAAATCTTGGTAAGTTCAAGACGACCCAAGTTGATGACCTAATAGATAACTATTAAGTTTCAAGGCTGCTGAACGATAGTTTGATATTAGTTCATCCTCTTGTTTTATCTGTCTCTTTATAGTTTAATTACTTTTTCTAGCTAAAAATTCCTATGGGCTTTTTATCCATGTCTTTCAGTGTGTTATTGAAATGAGCTGATACATGACCAGCTGTTATAGCAAATTAATCAATGATAAAACACTATATTATGACTCATTATTTAAAGAGTTCGGTACTTGTTAAAGTAAAGAGTTAATTTTTTGTAAATTAACTTGAACAGAACCTGGATATCTGATCGACAACAACTACATAATTCTCTGACATCACAGGAGTACTGGTTTATTTGAAATTAACAAGGATGATTGTCATACTTCATAGTAAGTTATATCAGTGTACCCCATCAAAATAAAATACCTGCTTATTTTCAGTCTATACAACCCCCATATCTCCAAAACAATTAAGTCATAAATCAATTCAACATAAAATACGGTTCATCTATGTTACCGTAGTTAGTTGTTTTTCTAAATAAATAAGTATACAATTGATTTGGTCACGTTATTTGTGATCAGATGATTGTAATGAGATATTACAAATCTACCTATTGAAAAAAATAAAGGAAGTTGTGACACCACTTGCGTCTTTGTGTTAGCACGCAACTTTTACTGCTATGTAACTTTTAATAAAGTTTCCATTCACTTAAAAGTAGAAATTACTCGGCACCTGTTTCGTCTTAGTTCCGACTCCTTGGTACACCAACATTAGCACTAGAGATCAAACGCAGTCTTATTAGTATGAACATTACCTTTGTACTAACGAGCTTATGCATGTTGTTTCACGTTTCTAACTTTATTCTATTCGAATATCACGATCGTACAATTACTCTAGTACCAACTTATTTTCAATGAGCAGGGGTTTTGTGGAGATTTCAGTATTTTCATAGTTGAAATCATGAGTCAATTGAAGCTAGACCACCATGGAAACACTGGACGGCCGTTTCGTCCTATCTTGAGACTCCTCAGTAGTGCGTACCACGATCCCGCCTCACGAGATTCGAACTCAGATCATACCAGGTTGAAGTTGGACATTAACACCTTCGGATGCCGGCCCAGTGGTTAAGCGCTCTGGCGCGCACTGCTGAGGAGTCCCACAATAGGACGAAACGGCCGTTCAGTGCTTCCATGGTGGTCTAGCTTCAATTGACTAATGATTTCAATTATTTTCAATGGTTTTCTGGCTGATGCCAGTCCATGGTAAACACTAAATTTTTATTTTATTTATTTAAACACATAAATATTGGTACAAGAGGATACGAGATATATATGCGCCGCACAAAACTCATTTGATTTGTGTGAGGACTGTGATACTGCCCAGGTGCCTAAACCAAAACAGGTGGTTTTCTTAGGGGGCCACACCTGGAGCCCTCGACCTAAAGGTCTGATTCACAAGGCGGTGGAGCATCGTGAGGAGATGCAGTCCCATGGTAGCCGGTGATCAACGATTGATTCATACGCCATTTTTTCCCTCACGATACTGGAGCCTATGTGCACCATTGGTTTGGAATCAGGGTTTTCCAACTCCCCTAGGTGAAGTTTCCGTGTCCACCGGCCCGGTTAAAGCGCCGGACATTCGCTTTTCGTCATCTCAATGTCGTAAACACCCCCCCCGCCACTTCAATGGAAACACCAGAGTTCTTGGCATATTTTCTTAGTCTATCTTTCAAAGAAACAAGATACAATGAGACCGAGATTCAAGCTTTCAATATGTGATGAATGATTAAGCAGTTTTTGCATCGAAACTGATAGAAAACTTTCAAGACTGAAGTGGAGTTGAATGATCAAAATTGAATTATTCTTATTGGTTGTACAGAATTTTGGTTGGCTTATCGTTTAGTATGAGTAGTCAATAAATCAAAGATTGATCCATTCAATTGTGATTTATCCTGTAGTAACTTTTTATTTACACGTAACATCACATTAGTTAATTTTTTCTTAAAAACATATAACTCATTTGTGTTTAGTTAGATATTATCAGTTGATAAATAAGGGAACATATTCCAGTAGAGTATAAAATTTATATATATATATATATATATATATATATATATATATATATATATGGCGATTCTATGTTATTTCATGGCTCTCATTTAAGATTCAATACACTTCAAGGTTATATTTCGATATTTAAATCTGCTTTTCACTTAAATCAAAAACATAAGAAATCTGTCAAGTAAGACGAGAAATTTCGTAAAACGTTTTACAGTACAAAATTCCTTTGAGTTTAAATTTACTTAACAGTCACTAAGAACATCAATGGCTAATGAGGAGCACGTTTAGATAGGTAGAACTGTAAAATCATTTCTTTTTCAAGTCAACCGATTAAAAAAATGGAGAGTTTGTTATCTGTCGTAAAATGATGGTTGCAGGTGGTCAACAGGAAACCCTGGACCCGAGTTTCGTGCTACTTAGCACTCGTCAGCAAGGTGTACCTGTAATCTGTTATCTGTCGCTAATTCCTTTCATATTTGAACATTAAAGACTTTATAGACGATAAGTGAAATAATCAGAATATTGCGTGATAATTATCAAGTTCAAGATTCCCAATGATAACGATTGTTTTGAATTATCAGTAGAGGTTTTATATTTTGAGTTTGGAGTCAAGATTAATTACATAAATCTTCGTTCAGATGGTGAGGAATACTGATAGCTTAGGATGGAAATTTTAGAGATAATATATTCTCTGAACTGGATGATTTATTCGTGGTTTCATGATCTTTTTAGACAAAATAATCAGCACACTCGAAAAAATATAGCATTAGAATTTTCAAACAACTGACTAACAGCTCATTTTGTTGACTAAGGATTTGATTAGTTGTTGTCAATAAATGTGTGACCGTTGTTTGCACGTTTGTCTTTTTTTCTGACATTGACGGTTATCTATTTCCTTCGTGAATGATTGATCGGTCCGATTTCAATATCACCCATTGATAGATGGTCGATTAAAGTATCATTTATTTCTATGTTCCATCTGTTCAATATTTCGGCATTTTCTCAGTCCAACTTATCTCCACAATTGTGCATATGTATTGCTATAGGCGAGGCTATATCTCGATGTTTAACTTAATGTTTACGTATATACGGGAGGATATAGTGAGTACTTTATGATATGTAACGCTTTTCTCAGTTACAGCTATTTGACTTGTCTGGTTGAAAGTGAATGCTTCCACCGATAATGAATACTAAAGCAGTCTTTCTGAAACCACGTACGCCGTTCAAGCTGGCTTCCTTCAACGTTCGCACACTAATGCATATCAGACAACAGATGGGGCTGGCTATGTCTTTGGAAGGTCTTAATGTTGATGTTTGTTGTCTATCCGAGACCCGTATTCAAGACTCTAGTGAAGTACTACAAATCCGCTCTCCATCTGTCGAATCGAAGAGCTTGTTCCACGTGCGCTTATACGGGGACCCTGTGGCATCCTCGTCTGGTCTTGCTGGAGTTGGTGTCTCACTAAGCACTAGAGCTGAGGCAGCACTAATCGATTGGATCCCCATTAACAGTCGGTTATGTGCTGTTAGATTAGAAAGTTCCATCAAAGTGAGAAGAAATCGGCGTGAGAAACGGTGTCTTTTCGTCATCTCCGCCTATGCCCCGACAGATTGCAGCCCGGATGCAATCAAGGATGAGTTTTACCACCAGGTAACTGTTCTTCTCCAGAAAGCGCGTTCGACAGATATTGTAGTACTAGCCGGAGACTTGAATGCACAGGTCGGGCGTCTAGGCACAGAAGAGAGTCGTTTAGGTGGCCGATGGGGACTTGTCGGTCGCAGGACAGATAACGGGGACCGTTTGCTGCAACTGTGCACAGACCACAACCTGTTTCTGGCCAGCACTAACTTCCGGCACAGTCATCGCCGGTGTGCCACCTGGCGTCCTCCCTCTGCATCCCAAGCCTGGACTCAGATTGATCACATCGCGATCAGCTACCGCTGGCGTGGTTGTGTACAAGACTGCCGCTCCTTTTGGAGTACCTATCTGGAGTCTGATCATGCCCTGGTCTGCGCCAATCTCACCTTACTTTTCAGTGGCCGAAGGATTGACCACCATCAACGGATTGATGTTAGTAAACTGGCTGCAACTTCTGTTGCAAGTAAGTATCGAGTGGAGCTAGCTTCTAGGCTAGCTACCACCCCACCGAAAAGTATAGATGAGCATTGGTTGCTTCTTCACGACGCCATGAAAATGGAGAGTAAAGCCGCTTGCGGCTTCGCGAAACGTCCCGCTTATAAGCACTGGGTTTCTTCTGGCTCCTTACAACTGATCGAAGCCCGTCGGTCTACTCCGGGTGACCGTGAGTTTGACCATAAACGAAGGCTGTGAAATTGGTCAAAGCTTGCGTAAGGCCCGAGAAGCCTGGTGTTCGGAGCGTGCTAATGAGATGGAAGCAGCAGCTGCATCTGGTAACTGCCGGAAGCTCTTCCAACTCATCCGAGCCACTGGCAGCAAGAAGTCTGGTGTGAGTGAAACAATCTACGAGGATGACGGGATGCCAATCACTAACATCTGTCGACGTCTTGGACGATGGGCGGAATTTTTCGAAGGGCAGTTCAACTGGCCTGCTGCTCCGGCAACATCGACCAGTTTGTCCTGCCCCCCATGGCCGGTGACGACTGATCCACCAAACGAGGCGGAAGTCCGCAAGGAACTCCAACTCTTGAAGCGCTACAAATCACCTGGCCCAGATGACTTACCTCCGGCTCTTTTTAAAGATGGTGGTGACTTTCTGGCTAAGGAACTGACTGTGTTGTTTGGAAAGGTTTGGGAGCTAGAAAGTGTTCCAACATCATGAAATGAGTCGATAGTCGTCCCTATCTTTAAAAAGGGTTCACGTTGTTCCTGCAATAACTATCGGGAGATAAGTCTACTTCCGATTGCGTCCAAACTATTGGCTTCTATCATTCTTCGTAGGTTGTTTAAAACCCGAGAACGATTGACTCGCGAGGAGCAGGCTGGTTTTCGTTCTGGTCGAGGATGCATTGATCACATCTTCACCCTCCGCCAAATGTTAGAACACCGTCATACTTATCGCAGGCCAACAATCGTAGTGTTTCTTGATATCAGGGCGGCCTTCGATTCGTTGGACAGGACTGTTCTCTGGGATTGTCTATTGAAGAAGGGTGTGCCTGAGTAGTTCATTAACATCTTAAAGGCCCTGTATACGAACACCTCAGGCAGAGTGAGGGCATACAACCACCTTTCTCCCTTGTTCCATTCGAGGAGTGGGGTTAGGCAGGGTTGCCCGATCTCACCATTCCTCTTCAACTTTGCCATCGACGACATCCTGGAAACAGCTCTGATGGATGTAAGTAATGGCGGTGTGGATCTGCTGCCTGGAGAACGACTTCTCGACCTCGAGTATGCGGATGATATTGTCTTACTGTGCGATAATGCCCAAGGCATGCAATCCGCACTTAATCAGTTGGCAATCAGTGTCCACAGGTACGGCATGTATTTTGCACCCTCCAAGTGCAAAGTACTCCTACAAGACTGGCAGGATTCTCATCCTGTACTCACCCTAGATGGTGAGCAGATTGGAGTAGTTGAGAAGTTCGTGTATCTAGGTAGCTATATAAGTGCTGGTGGTGGCGTGAGTGATGAGATTGATGCACGTATAATGAAAGCCAGAGCGGTTTATGCCAATCTAGGCCATCTTTGGCACCTTCGTGATGTTAGTCTGGCTGTAAAAGGTCGGATCTACAACGCGTCGGTGAGAGCAGTTTTGCTCTATGCTTGTGAAACCTGGCCTCTCCGAGTTGAGGATGTTAGACGTCTCTCTGTGTTCGATCATCGTTGTCTCCGAAGGATTGCTGACATCCAGTGGCAACACCATGTTAGTAATGCAGAGGTTCGGCATCGTGTGTTCGGGCGCAGAGACGGTAATTCAATAGGTGTCACCATCTTGAAACACCGACTTCGGTGGCTTGGACATGTTTTACGAATGTCGTCCCAGAGACTTCCACGTCGTGCATTATTTGCCGACCCTGGGACTGGTTGGAAAAAGCGGAGAGGAGGTCAGTGTATGACATGGTGTCGTGGCATGAAAGAGAGCTGCAAAGGGCTAGCTTCCGTTGGTCCTTCACGAATCCCTGGTTGGGGTCCGAGAGATAGTGCAACACAGTGGCTAGAGACGTTATCAGATATGGCTCAGAATAGAAGCCAGTGGCGATCCTGCTGCAACCTTCTTTTACTTTCTACATAAAGAGTGGTTCTAACTTTCCTAACTGAAAGAGTCTTCTGGTTGTACATTTCAGCCCGCCTTATCTTTTCATCCCTTCTCTTGCTACTTTCATTATTTTGTGTGGCGCATATGTACCTGGTGCCCTTTTGTACCAATATATATGTGTTTAAATAAATAAATAAATAAATTGTAGATAATGTTCGTTTGCTGTTGTATCCTTTGACTTGTATAATGTTGAAAATAAAAATTTTGTGAGATGCACCTATTCCCAAAGGCCTTAATAGTCTTTTTATAATCATAGGTTAAGCTTAGTTTAATGGAATCTATGTTTATTTAGGATTTCATTGTGCATATGTACCTGTTGTTTGAATTGCAAACACAAATTTTGATTACAAAAGTGTACTGGATCCAAAAGAAATTCACTACAAGACAAATGAACAAAGTCTATGAGTTAAGGACTTTTTTAAAGGTACTATAAAACTGAAGAAAGATATAAAATAGAATATTTATTCAAACATATATCTATATATATTTATGACTATAAAAACACCACATACCAACATTTTATACAAACAATTACCAAATGTTATGATACAAAAATATTTGAATTCATTAAACGTAATGAAAGTAGCATTGTGTTTATTGTATCTTGTGACCATGTTAAATCTGTGGAATAGCTATTATTATTATTATTATTGTTATCATTTTGGGACGTGAAATGAACTTGATTGTAACCTGATGAAGGTGAATGAATGATACTACCGAAAGTAAAAAAGGAGCAAAAGACACTATCATTAGTATTTAATAACAGTAAAGCATTAGATACTACAGACGATATCAATTAGAAATAATATATCAATTAATTAACCTATCAAACAACTAAAGACGGCATTTTTTTCTAGTTCGTTAATATAGTCTGTAGATTATTATTATTATTGGTTTTATTCAATATTATATTTCCGGTAAAATATGGAATTTTCAGCACGAAGTATTGCAAGAAGTTCCGTTTTCTTATTTCTTAATCGATCCAGACTATAAATATTGTGTGATTGCCGGTTAGATGCTAGCAATTCACGAATCGACATCTGAATGATATTCATTCTTTTTAATGCATATTGCCAGCCACCACGAAGTCTTTGATTGTACTTTTTTTAAACTTGTACAAAGAAAGGTCATAAACTTTTCATAAATGCGTCTGAATAGGTCATGCGATTAATAGACATAACAATATGTTGAAACAAACAAAAAAACAGATAACCTGTTGAAATATCTCGATGGTAGGAAAAGGTAGCCTATATATTCAAACAGACCGTCATTATGGTTCTAGTTCGATTTTCAGAGACTGAATTAATATCAATCCACTTTTGTGTAAATGATACTGGTTTTTTTGGTCGATATTATTGAAACCTATGTTACTGAGTTGAATATTTTTAAGTTTCCTCAAAGCATTTGCAAAAGATGATATTTATTTAACTGGTGTAGGCGTCGTTAATAATTAAATTAAGAGTATTTTACGACAACACTAAACAGCAACTAAAAAAGTTAGTCAGAAATGTTGTTTAACAAAAGATAGAGTAGTGACCTATTCATTCATACTATTACTACCGCTATTGTCAGCGTCTGCACAAATGTCAGTGATCTCAATGTACAGAATTTGTGTGAAGATGTTTTGTATTTAGTACAACGTTCATACTTGGACATTTTACTGGATATTGAAGATATATGAAATAAGTTGAGGAAAACACTAAGTAGTAAACAGCAATTTCGATAAACAATGTGCATAACTATTGCTTGTTACTAATTAACTCAAGACTTTCTCGGTCACCATTTTGCAATACACAAATGTGGTAAACAATTAACAATATATTTTCTCTAAATTCACAATCGTGGTTTAAAAAACATTACTTTTCTGAACGAAATTAGAGTGAATTTCCTCAGAATTCGATCTAAACAAATGGATCAACTCGTTCACTGAGTACAAAATTGTGTACTTAAATTCAAACCACACTTGAAGGATTTGAGGTTTACTGATAATAGCCGTTTCCCAAAACTGAGGCAGATATAGTCATATTCTAACTTTTGAACTCATTGACTACACTCAGCCACTGCATCACCAAGCATTGATCAAGCAGATTCACAATTGTTAAACATCGACGAAGTTCGATTTTGAGTATTAGCAAACTGGTTTATAGTAACAGACTATTTTAAAGTGTTGACGATATTACGTAACAGTGGAAATAAGTTTCATAATAAAACGAGAAATGCAATAATAAACCTATTTAAACAAGAGAATTATTTTGCTTTATAACATACCCATCTTCACCATGAGGATCATTGACAACAACTAATACATCCGCTTGAAATTCTGTATATCTATACAAAGCCATATAAATAAACACAACATCTTCATTGGATTGATTAAACTTGGAAACATTTTGCTTTCCAGATAATAAAACGACAGAAGAACAACTACAGAGTAATTGAAAACATAAAATTGATCATATGGAAAGGTCTACCAAGATATATATATATATATATATAAAACGAATAGGTAATACGTCCACAGTGTTAGTTAGGTTTTGGACCCATTGAACAAGCTGGTGATAGTCTGAATTCAGTAGATAACGCGTTGGGATTCGTAATGAACAGCACTTGGCTTGAGTCAGTGTGAAAATCAACATTAAGATGAAGGGACATCCACCTGACGAATCAAAAACAGGGTAAAGCGCGTGTACTGGATTTTAATGCTAGCCACAATCCATATGTGCAACTGATGTTGCACAGAAAAATCTCCAAGGTAGTTTTATATATTTTTTAAAATCCGTTTACAGAACAAGGAATTTAGACAAAGATGTGAAACCATTGATTGGCAATATAAGCGAATACATAGATCTTTCCAAATACAGTGGATTTTCATTTATGTTGTGTAAGACAAGTTCAAGAAAAATACAGCTCATGATAAGGAGGCTTAGTTGTATCTCGAAATAACGACAACATATATTGAGTACCAAGTTGGCACTGGCTCAATTACCTGAACATATATACAAGATTTGTGCTGGTGTTATACATGCAGGCGACTGTTACATTTTTAAGAGACAAAGTGTAAATTATGAAGCAAAACAAATGTTAAGTAAAAAATTTAAAAGCAATTGTTTGTTTAAAAAAGAGAGCCCTCAAAATATAAGAATTAACCAACTAGAATAATCGAATCCACTTTTATTATTTGTCATGTTAACTCCTATCTTTAGAAGAAAAGCTAATAGAATTAATTTGATATTGGTTATTTAATAAATATGAGACTGCAATCTACATATCTTTAAAAAAACATCTTTGATTGAGAAGAGATAAGAGTCCAGAGACGGAATGTGATCAAAAACCAAAAAAAAACTAGTAGAAAATAAGTGAAAGAGAATAGATTGTGATGGGAGAGGAAGAAGTTCTTATTTTTATAAGAAAACATGAAACAGGAAACTACATCAGGATCACAATTGGCTGTCATTCTGAGTCATTTTCGATATGATCTCAAGCCAATGAGTTACAACACATCTAGGATCAAAACGAAAAAATCATGGAGAGTCACCAGATGCTAGTCCTCTGAAGTTTTCTTTCGTCCTACGGTGCAACGCCATGTACTGATCACCTCTCTGCCTTTTATAACCGGCACTAGTGTTGATAACTAATGCACGATTTTGAAGCCGCTAGGATAATCTTTGAAACATTTTCAGATTAATGAAGTCGGTGTTTCACGATGCTGACACCAAATGATTCATGTTTACTGTATATGGACCTCAGAATTAATAACGTAATCTTGCTACTGAATGTCAAATCTATCGGAGACAACGATAATCGAACACAGAGATATTTTGTTGCAATACAAGCTACATGTAATTTGCACATATCAATCCGTTTGCTGGCCAACAAAACACAAGGCAAGCTTGGCACAAGACAAACCATGATCGGAGTCTAGATAGATGCTAAAAAAAGGAGCAGTTTTGCACACAAAATGCTAGCGGTAGATGATCACGATGTTATTAACCCGAGTTCCCGCTTGAGTTTTAAAGAGGGTTGAGTTAATTATTTCATTGTTTTCATAATCAAAACATGACTAGGTTTCTAATTGCTTGAACCTGGGATATTGTGCTAATTGTTATTTAGGAATCATTGATGTTATATGTTTTAAGATTTGCTTACAATGTGATATATACTTTTGTTCACGACAGCACTTACTAGTTAATTACAACTTACTTCACGGATTGATCTTAAATAAACAACTATTGGAAGTCAGGAAGCAGAAGGCACCTGTTTCTTCCCAGTGTAGGACCTTTTAAAAGTGCGCATCTATGGTCTCACTGGAGATATAACCCAAGAACTTCAGGCATCGCGGTGGGTGATTAAACTTTAGGCTACTAAGTCGACATCTCATGGTTTACATGTCACATTTTAATCATTTGTTAGTTTAGTAGTTATGAATAGAGTTCAGGAAACTTTATTTTGCTTTACTCTTTATAGAGAGGGAATTATCATCAATACCATGATTAACTTATTCATTGGCAGGCAATAATATATATCTGACATAGGTTTTTGTTCCCGGTGTACTGAAATTTCTGAGTAGATATGAATAACAGCGGGAAAAATGAGTTATTCTGTTCAATTTAATAATCCTAATGAATCACAGGTAAATACTCATGATATATGGACCCCTCAAGAGTGTTTAGCCAAAACCTCCATCTTCATTGTTAATTGACAAGTATTTATAGTGTGAATCATAGGTCTAAAAGCATCGTATAAAGTCTAAAAATCCTGAACTCAATATCTCAAGGGGTCATAATATTTGAACACAGTGTACTTGCCTCAATCGAAGAAGTAACAAATGTCTAGTGACGAATAGTTTTTTACATAGGTATCTAGCTGAAGTTAGTTATTGATGATAAATACCTTTAAATTGAATTCGTTTGTCATTAATAGTTTCAAGTATGTTAGTGAATGTTTATAAACATGCAAACTGGATTTACAATATTCCTGCTGACTGTATTCTCAAAACTTTTATTAAGCTAGAAGCACATCTTAATGGTTAATTTTAAAAAAAATGATGAAAGCATAGTATGTATATTTTAGAAAACTTACTAAGGATCTGGATTATGTAGTGACACAGTTCTTAGAGAAGAAATGCTTGAATCTGTGGCTTCATTAGATGTACTGATTTCATCGAAATGCATTCTGATGATGGTAGATATCAAAAAGGAAAGGTATTATTAATCAGTAAGAAAAAAGGATGGTTATAAAATTCAAGAAAAAAGTTGCTGAATATTTTAATGTAGAAAATAGAAAATATTACAACATTTTTTTCCATTCTGCATTAAATAACCGGTATATGGATGACATAGTGTTTCTTCTGAGATATAAAGTTACTGCATCGAATCTTATGTCTGATTGTACAATGCTTATGACTTTTTAATGATTCACAAGTTTATACTAATCTGTGGTTAAAGAAATTGTCACTAAAATAATTAAAATTGAAAAACTATTGACCCACTGTTCAATGGTAATTTTTTTAGAATGACTCTTCGAGAGTTCAGACGAGGATATAACTTATAGAAACAAGCAAGTAAAGAGTGAAGCGAATTATAAATCAAGACATAAGATAATAGCCTTGTTATATCAGAAGTTGAATGATATTAGAAAATGATAACCATAGGATTACTAGTGAATTTTGAAGCGGTACGAAACAGCTATTCATTGATTTTCAGACATAAATACGTGATCAGAATTTAAGTACATGTAGATTTAATTGTAACAGGAATGACCTCCAAGAGGATATTCAGAATATAAAACCAAGGACTACTAATCAAAATGAACAATTAGTAATTAGATAAGTCAAATCAAGACACTCTACCACGTAGATGAACATTCAATCCAGATGTAATCGGTATTATTACAATTAGGAACAATGTTAAATATACACTCCAGGGTATAATAGAATGTACAGTAAAAGGTATCATTAGCAAAAGCGCTTTTCGGTGTCATAGTAAAATACGTGTAAATTATGTATTTCATAAATAAAATATGACACTTAATCCATATATAATACATTATAGTACAGAATGATTGAATGTAGGTTATACTAATAAAGTTTACTAACGTCAAATAGAACACGATATTTTTCTTTTCAGCAAAGCACATAAATAATACATTCAAAATTCGAAGTCAAGACATATAGTTTACAGCGTGAAATCCATTGAAATGTTGGTCTTTACAATTACACAAAAGGAACTGATAACAATTAAATTTTCGAAAATGAAAGAAATTGGCACTTTTACAAAAGAATGAAAGTACCTCTTCATATACCGCAGGCAACTGATAATTACTATTTACTAGTTTAATAAAGCTATCTACGCTTTTGGTATCCATAAATTACGTGATAATGTGAAAGGTGAAACATTCAGTAAATGTATTTACGCTAAATTTTCATCAGTGAAGGAAATAATAATGTTTACAACTATTAGTAACATGGTAGTAAGTTTTTAAATCACCAATGGACAAACTTCATGGAAAAATGTGAAGTTAACATTAATAATAGCTACTTATAGGCAACACAGATCAATTGACATGTTTGAGTATGGTATATGAAAAAAGTAGAAGATATATTTGTAGTTAGTTATACATGAACTCTATGTTTAAAAGTATAGATTCTACAGTTAACCTTAGCCTGCAATTTAATATAAGTTATTCTTAGTGCGGGATTACAATAATGTCAGATAGCAGTAAAAGTATATAGAGCAGAATTACCTAACAAAACTTCAAAACTAACGTCAACTCTCATTACAAAAAGATTGGTGACATTCATAATACAGTCGTCAGTGTTTTGCTTTGACCTTCTCTCCCGAGGAATCTTTCATAGCAGAACATTAAGGAAACCGACATTCCTAGCTAATACAGCATGCCTGGATATGGTAAGCACAGACAACAACTCAATCGCGTAAATGGCGAACAGACTCCATAAGTTATGCTAAGAAAGTGTGCACGTGTTTTGCATGTTTTCACTTAAAATCGAAAACTGGATAATATTCAATAGGAAATGCGATTTTACCTTGCTGCATCTTCATGATTATTAGCGTCCACATATTCCAAGATATCTATAGTGACACTTTGAGAAGTTGACGGATGAACAAATACTTCTTGGTTATCAGGAATTTGACGTAAATCACTTACAATTGCAGGTAATTAATAGTTCAATTAAAAAAAGATAGTATGAATTAAGAATCAGTTATAAACAGTTTTTTTTCGAAAAGTGTATCTAGTAAGATTTGAAATGAAGACCTAGACGCTTAACAAAACGCTTTAAAAGACAAAGGATGATTATTAGGAAATGGATCACAGGACTTAATTTCCATTGATCTAAATTTATAGTGCTGTTCATGAAACTTGAAGGTTTAAGTCAAACTTCCTATGGAGGGGGTCAAAGGTATACATCTTTGTAAGTGTTATAAACGTAAAGGGGGCTGAGAGAGAGGATGCTGGTTATAACAGTAGAGGTTCTAGTTATAACAGTCCTTTTACTTCTTACACGTATGTGGGACGTTAATTTATCTTAGACGAAATCTACACTAGATTCCCACCCAGTGTCTATTCTACAGGACTTCAACAGAACTCAGATCAAGAACACAATATTAGCCTGACTATAACGTCAATATATTTCACACCAAAATCCGACACATGGAACAGTCAATAAGTCCATACATAATAAGGATAGGGAAATATATATATATATAACACATAACACCTGTCATCCCCTCTAATGTCTGACTCATCGAGACAACCAATCATTGACATTCTCGCCCACACATCAGTATGGACCCCCGAAATAGGAGTAACAAGCTAGTTATCCAATGTAATTTGGTTTTTTTAATGTTCCTATATCTAATACAAATTTAGTATGGAAAATACTTAGAAGTAAACTAATGTTAAAGTAGAACAAAGGTGAAATTTAATATTTAATTGGTTAATTAATCAAATGAAAAAATATATGTATAATGCCACTGGGATAGTTTATCCGTTCATGTAGATTTCCAAATAACTTATTTTAATATCCATACGGTTTTTCACTAGACTTATCATCTATCCAATTAAGTAGATCAAAAATATGATCATCTTATTAAGAAAAAAAAAATCAAATTCAGGATTTCTTAAGTTTACCTTCCTAACAAACCAGAAGTGCAACTCTGAATTTCAATATTCCTAGTCTAATAATCACAATAACTGAAAGCTGTGAATTCATAGAGAAGTTATCAAACAATTTCTGGTTTTTTCAAATGTTCTAATCCACACATTTTTGCCGTGTTACACAAATTATATTCTACATTAACAGTTACTATATAGGTAACTATTCGTTACAGGCTAAGTATGATGGAAAAAATGAAAATGACTGTTTAACCTATTCTAATCAGTTAAATATTTTATCAGATTGTTAGTATAGGCACAGAGCATTGTGAAAATTGTGCTCAAGAAATAAAAAATTTCGATGATAATATCAATGAAGAGTTCAGTAGTTATTTTGTATTCATTTATTTACAGAAATTTATTGAAAATTTCCTAGACCTTTTTTTTTTTTTTGTTTTTTTTTTGTTTTTTTTTTGTTTTTTTTTGTTTTTTTTGTTTTTTTTTGTTTTGTTTTGTTTGTTTTTTCGGGTTTCCTTTTTTGGTAAAAAACTTGTTGAAATAACTCGTGCTGAGAATTCTATATTGTACCAGATTATAATATTGAATAAAGCCATTAATAATAATAATAATAATAATAATAAAATGATTATACTGCTGAATGACGTATCGTTAGAATGTTTGATGTTCAGAGTGCATAATAATTATTTCTCTCAATAGATACTAATAAAGTTGAAGTTTGAATGCAACTTAACTACTGGCAATGACTTGTTCCCTAAGCTAGGTGGTTTAATTGCCATTCAGGATAAAATTATTATATCTTTCTTCATACAGAAGTTGATTATTTTTATGGCTCTTTCAATCTATAACATAAAGTAAACGTTTTACAATTGAACTTTAATATTTCGATGAGTACTACCTGACGTATTTAACTGGCATACATTTCAAGTACTTTTCGGTACAATTCGTTAAGTAGAGAAAAATCTATAATTTGTCTCACCTGGCATCAACTACATTCGTTGGTAATAGGCACTGAAACGCTCCATCAAAGAGTGGGCGAGACTGCATTGTGCTGAAGATTAACGTAAAAGAGTTTTTTAAAAGGAAGTATGAAAAGAATTAAAATGAACGGATTAAAAAAATCAAATACAATGTGACAGTGAAATAGTAGTCTGTAAGCGTGCACTAAATAATGTCAGAATGTATAGTCCTTAGAGCTGATCACTTCTCCTTCTAATAACACTTCCATTGTGAGCGTTAAACTAAACGATACAACATCAAGGTTGTCACTATGTTGATATTAAATTATGTGAGGTAGATTGTATGAAGTCTCATAAAAAAAGTTTTGAGCTAATTCACACTCGTAAGTCGAGAATGAGTATTCCCTTTCCGAGATTTGAATGTACGTCATCCGGTGCTGAAATCGAAGCTGTTGGGTTTGTAACTAAGATATTAACTGCAATATATGAATGGGATGGGAAACATTTGGGAGTGCAACAAAATCGCCACGTATGTATATAATTTTGTCTAGAACATATCACAAACGATATGGCTGTCTAGTAGATAAAATGAGGTGTGTTGAGGTAAAAACGAAGAGTTCATACAAAGTCTTTCACTTAACAAAAAAGATATATTTTAAACCTGGAAATATCCAATCATACATAGATATGTCATTAGGTGCAGAAAGGTATAAGTTATTCACAATTAAAAAAGTTAGTCGAATGTAAACATCTATCCATAAGGACAAATTCACTTTTGATTAATGAATAGTTTTCCGATAAACATTTCATTTCAATCAATAAACTTTTGCATATTATTATGAAAATCATTGAGAAACATGATTGTTCCGCATCCGATACCATGTGGTGTAGTGGGTCTATACTGGTAAGGAAGTTCGACCTAGAATATAAAAGCTAAGTAACCCTCCTTAACTTTTAATAATCAGGAAGTACAATATAGAACATAGGATTGTTAATAGTTCTTTAGATGCCCCCAAGCGCCTTCGTACGGCCGAAGGGTGGAATGAGTCCGCCCCCTCCTCTCTAAATGCTCTCATAGGGACACGTGCATCCAACCACTGCTAGGGAAGTCCTACTCACTGCCTTATCACGGCGAGGGTATTGTTCACGAAATTGAGAGGACGAAAAGCGAATGTTCGGTGCTTTAACCGGGTTGTTAGACACGCAGGGTTCACCTAGGAGAGTTAGAAAACCCTGATTCCATACCAATGGTGTACATGGGCTCCAGGATCTTAAGGAAACAAAAGGCGTAAGAAACCATCGTCGGTCACAGTTACCATGGGATTGCATCTCCTTACGATGCTCCACTGCCCTGTGGATCAGACTTTTATATCAAAGGCTCGGGGTGTGACCCCATCAGAAAACCACCTGTTTCGTTTCGGGCACATAGCCCAGCCCTCACACAAATCAAATGATTTATGTGGCACATATCTATTCGGTGCCTCCTTGTACCAATATTTATATGTTCAAATAAATAAATAAATAAATTTTTTTTGATGACGTTGATTCGTGAATATATCTTTCAAAAAATACAAAGTCACATGGCTTGAAGTAATTATGTTTACACAGTTTATATAATATATTTAAACAAATCATAGTATATTTAGTTCGGAGCTAGAAGTGAAGTCTGAGTTGCTAATTTCATCAACTGAATCTGACTGCACCCGTGTTGATGCCCACACTGTAACTCAAAATTAATACTTTTCGTCTCAAACATTAACACGTAATCCACTAAGGTGAGTTCAGCTATTCACTAGGTTGTTCAAGAGCAAATAAGATATCAGTAAATGCATTTACTTTACGGTTGTTGACATTTAGAATGACAGTTAATTGATCCTTTCTGTTCTATATCCCACCGCTAGCAAAACAACGAAGATACTAAAAACTTGTGAATAAACGCTATATCGATGATGAGAGACTGATCAATTTCGGTTTTGAATATCAAGAATGGGGAATTACAAACTCATATTACCACTCACATAATTTTTTATATAAGCTTAGTCGAATATAAAAAGAATTTCCCATATTAAATACTTGTTTAAAATTAGTCAAGTATCGAGATATAATAATATCATAATATACAGAACACAAACATACACAACTGACAAAAAAAGACGATTTACAACTATCTTAACAGATTCATCGTGAAGCTCAAAACAAATTTGTAAGATTAATACAGAATGACTATTCCATGTCAACTTTCTAATGAATGAAAAAATAAAAAAAATCTAAACGACTAATGATAAATTCCATACACAAATACCGGAAAAACTAAAAATAGACAACTCAGATTTTATTTAATTACAAAGAATTATCTGTTTGTCATTACAAACAAGGAAACCTTTGTGGTTGTTAGGTATGTGATTTATTGTTAAGTAATTTCAATATTTAACTAATTCGGACAAAACATATATGTTACTCTATGATATGATTCCCATAGTTAAACTACTTTCTAAAGTATTTTTAATATTCAACAACTATGCTTACGGTGAGACATTACACAGTGTATTAGTAACTTTCTTTTCTCAAGTAAATTATAATCTCTTGTGTTACAATACAAACAATTGAAAAAGATATAGAAATAAATAACATCTTAACCAGTTCATTTTAAGAAGTTGCAAAATAAGTTGAGTTTTAACATAAATTATTCTGTTTGTTATGATACATAATATCTGCAGAATACTTGTCATTAAGTCGGTGATTTACTGGAATTTGTAGCTCAAGTGGATGATTTAGGTGAATTTCTGTTCTCTGAGCTGGATGGTTTGGTCGTGAAGTTTTCATTGCTCTTCTGAACAACATCATCAGCATAAACTTCTAACTGGATTTTGTACTGATGTTGTTCAGAAGAACAATGAAAGCTCTACGACTAAACCATCCAGCTCAGAGGACAAAACTCCACATAAATTTTTAAGTTTGTAGTAAAGTGATGCAACACCATTTATCGTAGAGAACATAAGGATACTACTACAAGAAATTTGTATTTTCCAGTGGGTGTAAAAAATCGCTTTCACTAGAGTTACGGTATTTAGTGTGAATAGCTTTATAACAGTAGTAGTAGACCAGAAAACATAAACATAATGCATATTTCTTCATCTTATTTATTCACCAGATGTTTTCTTTCAGTAAGAAAATAATGACATATTTGTGGTGTCCTAATGAGCAGAAATTACAATTTCTTCTTTCTAAAGAAGTGACTTAAATTAAGTTGTGAAATGTACAAAACTCTCATTTATACTCAATGGGATATCACAAATATATGATTATTTTATTACTAACAATCTACTCAATGCTCTATTTATTTGAGATGTTGTATTTTGTTCTTTGGATTGGATTAGTCTTGTGTCCTTATTTAATTTAAACACTATGAGATTTAAATTCAATTAGTATTGTTTGTTTGAATCTTCCCATTAATGTTTAGGACTGCAACTGGTCAGTCTCTAATTGGCATATGTGCATACTGTGCGTATTGCCTTGATATAACCTTAATTTACAAGTCTTGTAATCAAAGATTGATAGTGGCTAGCAGTGGAATCCAGGACGAGCCCCAAATAGGACGAAACGCGCATCCTGAATTCCACTGCTAGCCACTATCCATCTTCGCTTACCATGATATTTATTCATTTAAGATTAAATTAGCAGTTTAATAGTAAATATCATAATATTATCTTATCAAGATTATACATAACTAATGGGGTTAAGAAACTAATCACTATGGGACTAACAAAGTTAACAACGACAGAGATACAAACCAATGGTATTAATTAATTGAATCACATAATACATTATTTACATATTTTTAATAAAGATTAAAAATGAACTGAAACATAGATTGGTATATGATCAGAGTTATAATTAGAAAAAAAGTATCGAAGTTGCACATTACTATGGCCTACGAAGAGTTGTCGACTAATATGTTTTTGAAAACACTTTTCACAATGATTTAATTTATAATTTCTATAAGCAGTGTCTGCATGTTTGGGGTTTATACCAAAGAATTGTACTAACCAGTAACTTTATATAAAGATATATGATCACTTAAAGAGTTGATATTAGTTCTCAAATTACATCATAATGAATAGATTATTTATTGGTCTGCCTTCAAAGGTTTCTCAATAAACGTTAGTATTAGTTGAGAATAAAGGCATTTTGTAATTGTATAAGTATCCAGTGCTTTTTAATTTTCAATCATTTCTGATAAATAATGAAAAGTAAGATAGTTAGAAACAGATACAACTATGTGAAATCGTATTCATTATCGACTCAAGCTGCCACATTTCATAACTGTGCATAAACCGAAAAACAAAATGTACAAAGGATTAATGTTCCTGAATTAGAAAGACAAAAAGAGAAATGATAGTGAATAATTGTAACAGAGAGTCTTTGAAAATTGATTTTAACTAACTCGAGTTGGACAGTTCGGATATTTACAACACAATTTATAGACTTGTTCGGGTGGTCAGTTAGTCGTACAGCTTAGTGCATCATTATCTTTTATGTAATTCAGTCAAAGTACAAAATATTGAATTGTTCAGTGAATGTAATACATATTTCAGCCACTAAGAGAAATGTAGGTGTAAAAAAATATCATGAGTTACAGTGTATATTATATTTAATATCGATATTAATAAGGTGGTTCTGACAATAGTAAATAAACCCTTCCACACAATTTTTACTCAATACAAATAAGCCAGATATTATATAGATAGGAAGGGTAGACAATAAGTCTTGGAAATATGTTTCACGCTAGTTAGCACTTATTAACAAGACATGTTTCGTATCATGAGTGGACTGATGGGCTTCATTAGATTCCTCCACTGTCACAGTGAGAGACGATTATTTATTTATTTGAACACATAAATATTGGTTGATGCAGACTACCTGGTTGGGGTCCGCGCGACTATCGTAACCAATGGTTGGAGACTCTGGGTGACATGGCTCAGAATCGATCACAATGGCGTAGGTGTATACACTTTTTATGTTCCCTTAAACCTTGAGATTAAAATTGCTTAATACCTTTCTTCCTATACTATATCCTTATATAAAATCTTTCTTTTATATACTACCACCACTAAATTAATTACTTCTATGAATACGGTGTTCATCTTGTTGTGCTAACGAGGTATGGCAACTTGGACCGATGCATATATGTGCCTGGTCCTACGTTGTCGCTGACTGACTGACATGGGGGCGCCAGACACATATGCGCCACACAAATCTCATTTGATTTGTGTGAGGGCTGTGATACTGCCCAGGTGCCCAAACCGAAACAGGTGGTTTTCTTAGGGGACCACACCTGGAGCCTTTGACCTAAAGGTCTAACCCACAAGGCCGTGGAGCGTAGTAAGGAGATGCAGTCCCATGGTAGCCGGTGATCAGCGATTGATTCACACGCCATTTGTCCCTTCAGGATACTGAAGCCCATGTGCACCATTGATTTGGAATCAGGGTTTTCCAACTCCTCTAGGTGGATCCTCCACATCCACCAACCCGGTTAAGGCGCCGGACATTCGCTTTTCGTCCTCTCACTTTTGTGAACAACACCCCCGCCACGAGAAGGCAGTGAGTAGGACTTTCCTGACAGAGGCGGTATACGCGCGGCCATGTGAGAGCATATGGAGTGGGAGAGGTGACTCTCTCCACTCTCGGCCGTACCAGGGCATTTGGGAGCGATAGCTCAGTTGGTAGAGCGGAAGACTGTAGATTGGTGAGAGACGATACCACTGAGTTTTTTATTCAGACTCAGTCGACTTCTTGTATTACTGATATATGTACACCAAATGATCAGTGAGTCATGTTGCGTGGTCGACTTCTACTGATTAAGTTGTAATGCGACCGCCAGAATAAACGGACCAACAACCTTAGACAGTATGTTAGACCAACTGTTGAGACAGGACATGATTTAATTACAATTGAATATTTGGTCTAAATATAAACATTTCTAGTTAGCTGCCTTCAATAGGTTTGAATTTACTAATTAAATGGTATAATAAAATTCACTGTTTAATAACGTATGAGATACAACCATTTGACAAGTTGAAACAACAATAAAATAAACCAAAAAAATTAATTCAAAACACAACAGAAATGCAGATGTATGTATAATGTATTCTATTTTTACAAACGTTTGCACATTTTTCAATGTATTTAAAGGAGGATCAGATACAGAAGACAATTTACGTTACAATAACAATCTTAAAAAAAATTCTCGTCTTATCTACAGTAAAAACATAAAATGGTTATAAGATCGACAGAAATAAAAGGTACATTAAAAAGTGTTCAAATGAAACGATAAATCATGGGAGGAAAAACTGAAGCACAAGAGGATATAAAATAATAAATACTTCAAATCAGCGATAGAGGTTGTTGTGACCTACGTAAGCATTGTAAAATAAATGTAAGAATAGTTTTCATTTATGATAAAAAACAGGATTTGTCTACTATGAAAATGTGAAAGAAACCAAGCAAAATACATAGAATTATGGTCATGAATCATTTTAGAAAGTATAACTAACTCGAACAAAGAGGAAGAATCATACATTTCCACTATCACAGTTCATAGAAACAGCTAGCAAGTTATTATTGATGACGTCGTAACTATTATCCATGATATATTGAATATTTTCTATACTAGAACGTAAGATATTAATTTCATGATGTTTAAGCCGTTCACAATTTTGTTGAGTTAACGTTAACTGATTCCATTCAGGAGCATCCTACATAGACAAGTGAGAGAAAAACTTTAAGCAAGTCAAACTAAGTCATGTATGTTTTACTTTATGATTTCTAATTATTCAAATATAATCCAAATAGAATGGTAAAAATAACATAAAAATATCTTTTGAACCCACCCAACTGATTAACATATCTCCATAGATATTTCAAATGAGAATTATGTCAAAATACCATATCAACAAGATGAAGGGTCAACCGAATAAGCATAACCGTTTGGTCAGTTGATTAATCTCAACGTAGAACCTGGTATATATGTACACTGATTCAAGCTGCCATATAACCCAGCGAAATGGAATTGTCCAGTATATTCATTGCTAGATCGATTTATAAATATAATTTATGGCAAAAACTAATAACACAACAACAAGAATTTAGACGATACACAACTATTTTTTTCAAATCAACATCAAAGTATCCATTATTATGAATAATCAATCTACAGAAAACTGAGAGTAGACTAACCTCTAATAGTAAGGTTCCATATGCAGCAATTAATAACTTTAGACGATTAATCATAAAACTTAATGCTTTGCATTCGGAAGCAATTTCTTTATTAAACTCAAAACTACTCAACTGCAATTTTATTATTGTGCTATTTGATTCAGAGTCTACTAGATATTTATTAAGTTCATCTGCAATGTATAGAAGAAGAAAAAGATGAAAACGAGTGTGAATATGTAAATTGATAAACAATGGAAAGAATCATCGGAATTTCTTATATTGGCAAATATTATTATGAGAAGAGAAAAGATGATAGTGCTAACCTTTGTCCATAGAAAAAATGCGTGAAAATATGAAAAATTCTGTCATGGATTCAATATCGCCACGTAAATCACACTTCAATGGACTAAAAAGAAAGAAATGTAGTGAAATGGAACGTCAAGCAAGTTTAATACAACCATACGTAAGAATATATAGTATTACAGATGTGTTGTATTATATATGACTGAGAATTAAGTATTATATCTCAAGAAATACTTGGCTTTACCTTAAAAAGATTTTGATCCCTGTATGGAATCACACTATAATCCGAAATGATCACGTAACTTATAAATTTACATTCAGTTATAGATTTGACTGACTTTCAAATATTAGGTTAGATGTTTTAGCCCTGGCTCTACATACTTTAATTTGATTAGGCTGAGAGTATCACTAACTACTACAAAAGTAATGCATTTTAAAGCCGAAAACATAAACCTATACTTATTAATGATTTCTAAATGTTAATTATTTTATAGTGTTAACAATGAAACTCAACTTCATGTGTCACGACTTATAGGGTTGTACATGTTACAGTAGCCTATTATTAATAAAGAGTTTGTCGAATTCTTGTTATTTGACATTCAAAAATAAACATACGCTAAGCTGGAATAGCGATAGCTGTAAAAAGAATTCGGTTAGAATCAATTTTCAAACTATCCCTTCATAGTAATAAGACAATTATCCGGACTGAGGAAAATAAAGACAGAAATATCATATAAATATATAGTTTCCTCTTTCTTTTCAGTTAGTTCAGTAAACATTTAGTTTTATTAACACGTTTTAAATCAATTATTTTAGGCATCATTGCTGAATTATAAAATGAATTTATACGACTATATAGGATAAAAATAACCTCATTTTGTGACTTACACACTTAAGCCAAAGGCTTGTAATAATTGTTTACGTGTTAATGCCAGAGAATCGGAAGAACTGATACCTTGAATAATAGAACAGAATGTTATAACAATGAATAAAACAGAGGATAGAAGGAAAGAAAGGAGTATATTTTATCTAAACAATTATAACACCATACAACTTTACGCTTTATGCAAATAATACGAAATATTTTTCTTATTGTGGAATAAAGGTTGTTAAACGCTCGCAGCTGAAATCTATTCAATGGTAAGTTCATACAGCCACTGAATATTAAATAAAAGATCTGGAAACTACTGTGACATCTTTTGAATGAAATAACTTTTGTCTAACATAAACACTTTGTACAAAACTAAACCTTCAATACTTGATCTGTTGAACTTAAATGACGAAGCATGTTGAGCCGATTTCACGTACACAATACCAATCTAGGAAAGTTGTACACAATAATAATAATGACAAGCATCAGTTCCATAATAGAGAATTATTGTAACTTAATAGTTTATATGGTTATGTTTCCAGTCACTGTGAGTAGAAGACAAATTCACTTAAACTAGTTTTGTACTTCGAGTAATTTCTTATTATTTTTCAGAGTTGAAATCATGAGTCAATTGAAGCTAGACCACCATCGAAAACCTGGAAGCATTGGACGGCCGTTCCGTCCTATTGTGGGACTCCTCAGCAGTTTATTTATTTATTTATTTAAACACATAAATATTGGTACAAGGAAGCACCAGATACATATGCGCCTCACAAATCTCATTCGATTTGTGTGAGGGCTGTGATACTGCCCAGGTGCCCAGACTGAAGCAGGCAGTTTTCTTAGGGGCCCACACCCGGAGTCTTTGACCGAAAGATCTGATCCACAAAGCAGTCGAGCATCGTAAGGAGATACAATCCCATGTTAACTGGCGACCAACGATTGATTCATACGCCATTCGTTCCTTCAGGATACTGGAGCCCATGTGCACCATTGATTTGGAATCAGGGTTTTCCAACTCCTCTAGGTGGATCCTCCACATCCACCAACCCGGTTAAGGCGCCGGACATTCGCTTTTCGTCCTCTCACTTTTGTGAACAACACCCCCGCCACGAGAAGGCAGTGAGTAGGACTTTCCTGACAGAGGCGGTATACGCGCGGCCATGTGAGAGCATATGGAGTGGGAGAGGTGACTCTCTCCACTCTCGGCCGTACCAGGGCATTTGGGGGCAATTTTTACACAACACGTATGTGAATACACCGGGAAGTATCATTAATCATAAGCGAAATTAACTTTAAAGCAAAAAGCTTAATCAAAACATAAGGTTATTGCTAAATGTCATTAGACCTCTTCTCATAAAAGGTCATAAAACGGCAACTATTATGTAAAGGACTCCTTAGAAGTGCGTATCCACGATCCCGCACTGGCGAGATTCGAACCCAGGACCTGCCAGTCTCGAGCCAGAGCCCTTAACCGATAGACCACTGAGCCGGCATCCAACGGTGTTAATGTCTAACTTTAACCGATCCACGAATTATGAGCAACCATTCACGAATAGTCTTCAGTGAGTTGTTATCGCACAACAGACGTGGTTGAACTCCACTGGTCACTGCTTCCCACTACAACTCCAGGACATGTATCTTGAATTCAGTCACTAGTGAGCATATGATTATAGTCAGAAGGGGTTTTGTGGGGATTTCAGTATTTTTTCAGTATTATTTAAACACACAAGCATTCATACAATAGGGCACAAAAATATATATATGTGCTACAGAAAATTCTTGTAAGGGCTAAGATACTGCCCGGATGCCCAAACTTATGGTAACTGACAAACAATTTCATCCATATCCTTTAATTGTTCAGTGTAATATAATGAACAATATGAAAAGGCAGAAGAACAGATGTAAACTAGTTAACGAGAGAATCCTTTAGTAATTATTATTATTATTAATGGCTTTATTCAATATTATAATCTGGTACAATATAGAATTCTCAGCACGAATAATGTGAGTCATTTGCCAAGTACAGTTTCATGCATCCGACTTTAAGCAACACTTCAGGTGATACTATCAAACTTTTCAAATCAAAGTAAGTAAATTATGATTAAAATCTAAAGCCTATTTGGTTGAAAAGTGAATGCTCTAGCCACTAGTACATATTATTTATTATAATTGAATATCAATGAGACATACATTTCTTGGATCAATTTTATCATAGTAACATAGGATACGATGATTTGATGCAAACAGATTTAGTACGAGGTAGTATATACACGAAAAAAAGGTAATTACGACTGCTAATAAGCACGAATTTTGTTACAGATAAAACTGATGTATAAAAAATGAGAACTTGCCTAGAGTTATTGTCAATTTATTGTTCAGATTGACTTGAGGTATAAAACCAGAGAACATGAAAAAATCATCATTTGAACGATTTCCGTAATCCATAAATATCTAAATAGACAAACAGGGAAGTTAGAAAAATAAAGAAATAGGAGGAATTGCCTTCATTAATTAATTAACGTAATTGCTGACACAAAATAAACATATCATTTTAGTATGGAATTATCTCAGTAAGGTAATAATTTCATGGCACGACACAGACCTACTAATTTAGAACATGGGAAAATTTTTTTGTTCAGTGAACCATCCTGTTTTGAAAAAAAAGTGCTGAGGTGGTTTGGTCTCAGGTTTTCCGTATTAAGTTATAAAAAGATTGAAGAACATAGTATTCAGTTGCGTGGTTTCAATATGTATTGCACTGTAAGTTAATTTGTTTACAATAATAAGTTGGAAACTAATTAGTGGGTTAATGTTAAATAATAAGTTAATGGTTTGTGCACTCTAATTTGATTTGCGAGAATAGATATAGTATCAATAGTCCTCACATAAAAAGCATAACTCAAAGTCAGGTATACGTCCTTATATTTAGCTGTTGAGTTATATTAAAAACTTGCATTGATGTTACAATACCATAAATTATATTTCCAAGATAGTAAACTTATGATGAGTTTTGATCTGGACAATAAAATAAACACAAAGATGCTAGTTTAATGTCTATCGTCTTAAAGTTTAGTGAGCTTATGATTACACAGGAAACGTTCCGGTCTTATTAATTTATAAAAAAACAGCTCAGCAATAAAAAGTACCTGATCACCAGGTTTATATGCCTCCATTGTACAGAATATTAATTCATCTACTTCAGGATAATAGTGTGTTGTAACCTAAATAAAAAATAAAGACAAAATTTATACACAACACGTATGTGAATACACCGGGAAGTATCATTAATCATAAGCGAAATTAACTTTAAAGCAAAAAGCTTAATCAAAACATAAGGTTATTGCTAAATGTCATTAGACCTCTTCTCATAAAAGGTCATAAAACGATAACTATTATGGAAAGGAAGAATACTGATGGTTCGTAAAAATGGAGTGAAAAGTGGCTTACTTCATACTACATAAAAATCCGTTGATTATTCCTTGGACTGGAAATCGGTATCAGGCTGGAAATATAACTGATAAGCTTTAATAAACTCATGCAGTAAAACCATCACAAGGGCCGAGGTAATATAAACTAGTCTTTTGGACCATTAGGAGTTACAAACTAAATATGATAGGTATGGAATGATTATAAAAGTTTCACTGAGTTAATGCCAGGGGGAGATAGAATGTGACAATAAATTCTTAAAAACAACAGCACAATATCTTCCTATGCATTTCATGATACATGTTCTATTGATTAAATCTGTAGGCAGCTAGTCATTCGTTTAAAGAGACTACAATGACATCCAATACTGTAATACAATGTAACCAAACAGAGATGCATAAATATTGTAATACAGACTGATTATCACGATGAATGTAAAAGTAAAAAACATGAACACGTAGAGAAGGTTAAGAAAAATGCCTTTTGATATTAGATTGTGAAAATCAGTGATGAGTTTGAAAATAGGTATTTTAGCAACAACGCGATGTACCAAAGCAAACTTCACGAGTACTTAGGCAATATATCAACATACAGAGAACAAAGCAATGGAACTATTTCAATAAAGTGTTGGAACAAAAGTGGATGAATGCATCAGTACCGAGTCTAAATTTAGTCAATATTTTAACTATCATCAGCATATAGGTTAACTGTGACATTTTCATGTAATGATGGCTACTTTGCACACTATTACACGCCTAATTCGAACTGCATAATGAAATATTTTCGAATGTGTTCACTGTTTTATCTGAGACTTGAGCGCTTGCCCATTCGTAACTACCAGTCATTCAGCTACAACGTAGGACCTGGAAAGTTTTGTATGCGTCGGTTCAAGTTCCCACACCTCATTAGTACAAAAAGATGAATACCGAATTCATAGAATTAGTTACTTTAATAATAGTAATATATAAAAGAAAGATTAAATATAAGGATATGATAAAGGGAGAGAGAATTAGTTCATAGAAATAAAGGTAGAAACTAATTTTAAACTCACGGTTTAAGGGAAGACAAGGAGTGTATACACGTACGTCATTGTGATCGGTTCTGAGCCATGTCACCCAGTGTCTCCAACCATTGGTTACGAAAGTTGCGCAAACCAAAACCAAGTAGTCTGCATCTACCAACATGGCTCAGATCATAAGTTAACGACTTTATGGACTGATGCCATGTTTCGGTTTGGCTACCCCTAACTTTATTCCAGCTGTCCTCAAGACCAGTCAGCATGGTGCGCCGTGGTATTCGGTGTTCAGGCATACGTAACACGTGGCTCAACCATCTCAGTCGATGAAGATTCACAATCTCATCAACTGATTTACCATCACTCCCTAATACCCTGTTTCTAACCTCACTATTACTTACCCGGTGATCATAGCAGATAAGAGCAATAATTCTAAGGCATCTATGATTAAATACTAATAACTTACGAGTATCCTCTAATCACAACAGCCATGTTTCGCAGCCTTAAAGTAGAAAAGGAAAAACTACCAAGTATTATACTCGTCCTTTTAATTGATGGACTGATGTCTCGCCTTCACCACAGGTCAGACAAGGTGGCAATAGCCAAACGAGTTTTTTGAATCCGTGTAGAGATTTCCTCAGACACTAACCCATTAGAACTGATAAGTGAGGCTGTCAACGCGTTCGACTACTTCACTGCCGATTCTTAGATCAGGTATTGACGTAGGTCAGTCCTGAAGCAACAATTTACATATGGACAGAGGGGAAAACACATCCCAAACATTTTGGAATTGTTGCTCAATCCTACCAAAAGACTCCACTCTTTATCAGCGTCTTCGCCAAACAGAACTATGTCATTTGCGTATTCTACGTCAATATATATGTACACATTATGAAGGTCAGTTAGTGAGACCAGTCACATAGGATTACACCTCATTCCCAGACTTTAACTGAAATATCAGTCAACCTAATCGCAAAAACTGGACCACTATCCTTAAAGATCCTTAACAGATACGGACCGACTGCTCTTCCTCGTTTCAAATTAGCTATTGATTTTTAAACTTCAATTGGAGTTGAAAGGCCTATTGCAATTGTCAATTCAGGCTGTTTGAAAATAGTGGGGTAGTTGTAGAGTAACTGAAGGCCAACTGAATTGCTATTTAAAATGTTCCGCTCATCGTTATAAATGTCATCTTTGGCGACTGTCTCAATCACATTTGACTTCTTAATTACGGCTTCTTTTATTAGTCTGAAAAGCTGTCTTGTGTTGCCTACAGACACTGCGTTTCCATATCTTTTGTTTCAGCCGTTCGTAGAAATCATCTTCGGACTTGTCGCCCCTGAGTCCAACTCAAATGGGTCTTCTTAATGTCGCTTTTCTGAGTCACGTGAGGCGCAAGCAAATGCATGCTCGTATTAAGGCGTGATCAGAGTCTAAACATGTATTCCAGAACGAGTGACAGTCTTCTACCGAGCCTCGCCAATGATGAATGATGGCAATATGGTCTATTTCAGTCCATCGTTACTTTGGTGCAAGTGGTCGCCATGTTAGGCAATGTCTCTCCTTATGCTTAAAATTAGTGCTTGCTAAAAATAAACTATTGTCTGAGCATAGTTGCAACAGACGATCACCATTATCTGTTCGTTGAGCCGCAATACTAAAATACCCACCTAAATGTCTTTCTGTTTGATTTAAGCTGCCTAATTGGGCATTAAAGTCACCCGCTACGAGCACTTTGTTTGAGAGCTTAACTTTTTGAAGAAGTTCAGAGAGCTTTCTGCAAAAGTCATCTTTCACTTCATCAGGGCTGCAGTCAATGAGAGCGTAGGCAGAAACGACCAAAAAGCAACAACGTGTGTCCCTATCCTTCCAAATTCTTACGGAGCCATTCAGCCGGACAGCACATAGGCGACTGTTAACGGGGATCCATTTTAGTAGTGCTTGTTCTGCCCTTGTACTAAATGCTATGCCTACATCTTCAAGTTCACCTAAACTTGCGGTCGAGTCGCCAGACAAATGAAGGGTGTATCTCGTCGGCTCCCTGTTTTTGCGAGATGAGGTCAAGTGAATGACCACATTAGGATCTTGTAAGCGTGTTTTAAGACACAGCATACATCAATCGTACAAAATTCTAGAGTTTTATCCAAGGGGGCCTGATGGCTGATTTGACATAGGGTGTGTACATTGAAGGCTCCAATGAGTAGTTTGGAGCGAGGTTTCAGTAGAACTGGGGTCAGCGTTTCGCACACTAGAATCGTTGGCAATGGCCATAGTGACACTTGAGGGGTAAGTTTATAATTGATAGTCGAGGTAGGAGGAATGATAGAAATTGAAGATGGAAGTTGATTATGAATACAGTGGTCTCGAGTGTTGTTAAAGGTCTGAGGGTGGTTATCACTTCCTGGTTGTCCACAGCGTGGAAGGGTTCTTCTAGGGGTACATGAAAAAGAAAATTAGGTTAGAGTTGGTCACAGTGACCTGAGAGTGTGACCGCAGTACCCAAGGGACAACTGTTTGAGGTCGGTCACACACGACCTTTTCGTGAGCAGTTTTCGTGTTAGCTCTGTACTAGTTGAGCTTACCGACGGAGACGGATATCCGTGGAATAAGGGAGTGTGTGAATGATCAGGGTAGACCTTTCCTAACCCCACCCTTCCTTTGTGGGAATGCAGCATTGCTGTTATGCTGGTTGTCTGAGGGAAACACTTCGCTGCTGTCACGACTCTGTGCAGTCATCAGTACAACTTCGCCCTTGGGCCTTGGGTTTGTTGATTTTGGTCTTACCGCTCTTTTCGACAGACCTGCCTGGCATGGTAGGACCTCGAGGAACGATTGTTCTAGCCATTATAGCCCGGTTGGCTTATCACGATAAGTAAGCTCAACCACTACGTCAAGGTAACAGCAACGGTTGGGACTACTAGAGTATACATTGGATAGTCCAGGGATTTATTAAACTATATTAAATTCTGATACTTCTGCTGTTTAAATCAAAATTGAACGAGATTTTTTAAAAGTACAGTTTACTGACTTACATGACCGGATTTATGATTCATCATGTCCCAAACCGGGATGAGACACATAATTTTATCTTTTCCATTAAGATGTGGTATGTAATTGCTTCTACTCATCACTGTCGACACAGCCCATCTAGGTTCAAATCATGAAAAGCAACAAATAATTGGGATAGCATTGAAACAATAAAACACCGGAAAACAGTATCGTATCGAAGTCACAGAGTACAGTTTGACAAGACATGCATTAAAAGCTGCAGGTTACACCGTTGATAACTAAAAAATCAGAAGCTCGTAATGATTCCAATATGTACCTATCAAACGAATTTCATCAATAATACAGACGCGCGGAAGGATTAACATTTCTTGGTACTTAAATATTCAAATGAGTAACATTCAGTTCTAATTGAAGACATGGGATAGAGAGAAAAAATTATTGTATTATTCACAGTGTACAAGAAAATAATTACAGTGTAGTCAAACATCATAAGTTTTCTTCAAACAAATTCAGTAGTTGTACCACCGGTATTAGTAAAACCTCTTTATTTTTGTATACATCTTGATTTGTCCGCGCTGGGCTGATTTAGTGTAAGAGCTTAGGTAGATGAACAAATATGCCAGATTCTACTTCGCTTATGAATGAGTAATTGACCGAATCTATCATCAACATAGAAATTTGAAAATATCGTACATGGAAGATATGGTAAATAGTTGTGTGCAACAATGTGATGCACTCACAAAGCTAGACTGAAAACGGCTTTTAGTCGGTGTGGATACACTGGCTACATAGATATTAGTGGTTCCTATAACTATTAAATTATTCAACGTTAGTTGCAACTCACTGCTTAAATTACAACGTAAAGAATCAATAAACAAGATGAGCATAAACATAGCACACGTCTTAACCATTCTAGTTGATACAGATTCACTACCAAGTCAATCCACTCGTAATCTTTATCTAGTAATGTGTCTAATCTCAGAATTACCAACTCGATTGTCTAAAAGGATGTGACCTATGGTTTAGAGATACGCATAACTGAATAATAGTGTAACGTACGAATATTCTTTACTTTCAAAGGTCACGTTTCATAACCACAAAATGGAACGGAGCGAACTGTTGTTCAGCAAACTCCTCCTCTAGTTGACTAATGGATATCTCGCCTACGCAACAAGTGGTGAAAATTAGCGAAATATAACCAGGCTTTCTGAATTCGTAAGATTTCGTCAAACACCAACCCACCAAGACTGATGATACTACTAAGATAAGTGAAATTATAGACACTCAACTACTTAGATTTCTCTATCATTATTTCAAGGTTTGGAATAGACCGATTTTGAACAATATTTTACGTATGAAAGTACAGAAACGCAACTTAAACATCCTCGCATTGTCGCTTAAGGTGATCAGAAGACTGCATTTTGTCAGCGTCTTCCTCAAACAGAGTTATATTATCTGCATATTCTAAATCAAAAAGAGTTTTGCTTAGAAGGTCAATTCTTGGAAAGTCAGACGATGAGTGTTATTTTTGTGACGAAGTAAGATAAAAATAGAGAAAGCGGAAAGTCGTGACAAACACCACTTGCAGTTATCGATTCCGATGACAGTTCGCCATAAGCTCGAACTCAACCAGTATTCACGTAGAGAGCCTGTACAAGGTTTATATACTTCTTTGATACGCTTTTAGATGGCAAACACTGCCATAAAACCTGCTGATTAACAGAGTTGAATGGTACCTTGATGGTGTCAAATTTCCCTCAACTACATTAACAAACACTGTTACAATTTCATTCATCTACATTCAAAATGGAAAAGTAAATTACTCCGGTTATTTATTTATTTAAACACATAAATATTGGTACAAGGAAGCACCAGATACATATGCGCCATACAAATCTCATTCGATTTGCTTGAGGGCTGTGATACTGCCCAGGTGCCCGAACTGAAGCAGGTAGTTTTCTTAGGGGACCACACCCGGAGTCTTTGACCGAAAGATCTGATCCACAAGGCAGTGGAGCATAGTAAGGAGATGCAGTCCCATGGTAGCCGGTGATCAACGATTGATTCATACGCCATTTGTTTTCTCAGGATACTGGAGCCCGTGTGCACCATTGATTTGGAATCAGGGTTTTCCAACTCCTCTAGGTGGATCCTCCACATCCACCAACCCGGTTAAGGCGCCGGACATTCGCTTTTCGTCCTCTCACTTTTGTGAACAACACCCTCGCCACGAGAAGGCAGTGAGTAAGACTTTCCTGGCAGAGGCTATATATTCGCGTGGCCATGTGAGAGCATTTCGAGAGGAAGAGGTGACTCTCCCCACTCTCGGCCGTACCAGGGCACTTGGGGGCTCCGGTAAATTGAACTGATTTAATGCGACTGACAAGGAGAGCAATTTGTGAGTATGAATGCCTTATAAAAGAAAGACTAATTGTTCGGTTAAATGAGAACAAGAAGTCGATTGCGACTTATGTCAAACAACAAATCCTAAGGTGAAATTTTGACTAGTGAAATATGAGGAACAAAATAGAAAATGGAGGTAATTTACGAAGTGAAAAGTTGTTGGTCTAATCTACGCATTCTAGTGTATGCTCCTTGTTTAGACTGAGTTAGGATCCCATGACTGCAGACAGATACTAGATGGTATCACTACTAATTAGACACATAAACATTGGTACAAGGATGCACCAAATAGATAGGCACCACATAAATCATTTGATTTGTGTGAGGGCTGGGCTATGTGCCCGAAACGAAATAGGTGGTTTTCTGATGGGGTCACACCCCGAGCCTTTGACATAAAGGTCTGATCCACAAGGCAGTGGAGCATCGTAAGGAGATGCAATCCCATGGTAATCGGCGACCGACAATAGGTTCATACGCCTTTTGTTTCCTTAAGATTCTGGAGCCCATGTGCACCATTGGTTTGGAATCAGGGTTTTCCAACTCCTCTAGGTGGATCTTCCGTATCCACCAACACGGTTAAAGAGCCAGATAATCGCTTTTCGTCCTCTCAATTTCGTGAATAATACACTCGCCGTGATAAGGCAGTGAGTAGGACTTCCCTAGAAGTGGTGGTATGCAGGTGTCCCTGTGAGAGCGTTTCGAGAGGGACAGCTGACTCTTCCCACTCTCGGCCGTACCAGGGCATTTGAAGGCTGGATAATTAACTGATTTATTTTCTGCTAGTTTACGAACATATCGATATCCGTGCTTTTTTACTCTGCAAATAACATAAGTAAAAACTTTAATGAACTTTTTAGTACAGCATTATGCATTATCTATCCACAATCTTATCATATTACTAAAACATTTACTAAGACAAGATATGCTTCGAATGCCAAAAAGTTGATGGCCATAGATAACTCTGACAAGTGAATGGTCGATAACACATGAAGTGTTTGTAATTGCCATAGAAACTACGATCTGTCCCATAAATTATTCGGCCTTATTTCTTTAATGACTGGGTCTTATGAAAACACTTCCCTCATCAAGTTAGGTGAACTTTTTAGGTTTTAAAAGTAGTTTATGAACAAATTATCTCTTTTTCGCTAATCGGTGTTATTTTTCAACAAACAAGAAGAACATTCTTGGCATACAAAGACCGTACTTTTTAAATGATGATCACATATACAAGAAACACCATAACTACATATACTAAATTCACAGTGTCTGATGAACATTCACAACTACAAGTAGAAATGAGATGTAACGGAGACAACAAAATACCTATTCCGGGGACACAACATTTTAACTTTAATAAGAGCTTAAAGTATACCCCACTTAAATATCAAAATGTGTGTGGTAAGTACACAAACTAACTAATTAAACATTTTGATCACTAACCTATAATCATCAAAACAAAATACGAAATTCGGGATATCAATGACTGTTTGGTTTTCAATGAAGTGACGGCAGAAGTAAGAGTACTGTCGACAAGTAAACAAGTAGTTGGAAACAATCTTTTCTGAAAGGTGAGGTCAAAGGTTAAACATTCATATTACCTATAATTGGTGATCCTTTCAAGAGGCGAACATCCGCCACGTCCATATACAGAAAAGTAGAGTACTCAGAAGGCAATGTTCCTGTACATTACTTTATATTGAAACATTTTACTTATATAATCTCTCCATGTTGATCTGTCTCCTTGGTACAGTTCACCTAATAAGCACAAACAAAGTGCAACATTCTCCATACTTGATGCCAAGTTATCTTGTGTTATAAACTCTCCTAACAGACTAAATACTGAAAAATAAAACATACTCAAACATGTTGATGAATTTTCTACACAGAACACGGCCCGCCTAGGCAACCTAATTAATTGTTGACCCTCCTAAAGGTATAAAAACTTCAATAATTACCTTTATAGGAACGCAGGCAGTGATTCCAAACCCATACTTTTCAAACCAATGAACCGTATAATTATCAGATGAAAGAAAATTGTCCAAGTCTTTCTTTCTGCTCTCAAGAGACTTCATTAACTTAGACACATAGCTATGTTCTGAACGTGCATCATTCATTGGAGTCAATTACCCTTCTGGACAAAAATAATTTCAGAAGTTAGAGACTGCAACTCTCTCAGAATTTCTATTGCATTGACGGAGGTGATTGTCGAGTTCAAGCATCCTGGGAAATAGAAGAAAACACATTTCCTACTTTCCATAAGTTTTTCAGAAAGTGATGATGTTCTTTCACACACCTGACGTACGCTCTTATCGGGTTTATTTGCTCTACACATTTCACTTAGTCCGACAGTAACGCATAATTCTTAATTGGGTATGTTGTCCAATATATGATGTCCTTGAACAGCATAATAAAAGTAATCGACATTTTTACTCTAGGTTTCTGATGTTAGGTAGCAGATTCTGATTTCAAGTATCTCTGGTGATATTCAACTACTTATACGACTGCAGTAGTCCTGGTGATTGTCAGTTTGCTATTTTATTTGCTAACATTCTCTTGTTATCCTGCTAACCTCTATATTTTCTTGCTTTCTTATTTTCTCTACCTTGCTTCCTACGAGGAAAATAGGGGTTTCGAGGCTTACAGTGTCCAGATTGTTACTGTGGATAAGTGTAAATGTATTTTTGTTTATGGTTTTCCTAGCTCAACCCTAAGGGTTGAGGATACGACTAGTATCCTAACATTACAATTAGCTACCAGTAGTACCTTCTATAATCGAAACCCTTTTGGCCAAACAGAAATCAGAAGTCAGACGAGAAGAGGTAGGAAAGATATATTTGATTCGTTACCAATATATCGAGAGGCGTTCGTTCTTAACTGACTATGGAAACGTAGGAGCTGTGTCCCACGCCGAGTTGCAACGTGATCTGGTACGGATGCATGACCGGAAGCCTTCAGTTAAACAAGTCCACTTAAACAACGTGGTCAGCATCCAATGTCGAACACTTAGAAAGCTATCGATTTTGGGGAATTATTTACAGCTACAGATCACTCCCCCCCTAGAGAGGTAGTGATGCCCCTAAGATGTGACCAGACAGAAGTTTAAACCCAACGTGTTTGTCGTTGGTAAACACTCTTCTGATAGTTTGCTTCGTTTAGCAGCATCTGGTCGTCTTTCCTTAAACTAAGGGACCATGAAGTACAACCTAACGATAAAGAAATAAAATACAATGAAAATTTCGGTTCCTTGCGAAACTTCGTCGTTCTTTTCCAGCCGTCCTGGAAAAGAGAAAAAATAGAACGTGTGAGTGCATGTCGAAAATACACTCGTACTTGCGTTAGGACACAAGATGAGCGGAAAAAGAAATAAACTAATACACTTACAAACAGCGTAAAAGCGCTCGGAAAAAAATGGGTTTTTGGGGGGCTTTTGTATAAAAAAATATAAATACGCTCAAAAAAATAAAAATGTTTTGTTTTTCGTTTTTTGTTTTTTCTTAAATAAATGAAAAAAATGAGAGTATTAAAAAGAAATGTTTTTTATAATAAACAATGAAAAGGGAAATTGAGATAAAGCTTGTGCCCTACGTGCAATAGTCGTTAATATGTTCTGGAAATCTTACTCTTCTTCCAGAACTCGTTGTTTTAGGTTTATTTTTCGATGTTGATGAAATGTCGGGGTGTGTGTCGGCTGTCGTGTGAAGTACTACAAGTGTATGAGCCGTATCGTTCGATTGTACCGAAGGAAATTCGACGTAGCTAGGGTTTCCTTCCAAGTACGCTGCTTTTAGTCGATCGATACTGATGCTATAGTTCGTGCCGTTCTTATCAACTACATAGTACTTAGGTTCGCGTTGAAGAACTTTGAAGGGTCTTTCGTATGCTGATTCGACAGGTCTACGGTGTGAGTCTCGAAGAACGAAGATGTGTGTACTATGTCGTAATTCATGTTGAACGAAAACATCAGTTGATTGAGGTCGAGTGTGAGCAGGTTTAACTGAACGCATTGCGTTTGTAAGCCTGCTCGTGTAAGAGTTTAGATCCATGTTCAATGAAGAAGCTGAAGCATCCACGAATTATCCTGAGAGTCGGAGTATCGTTCCCTAAACGAGTCGAGATGCAGTGTATCCAATGTCAGCCTTCACTGCATTGCGGATACCTAGCAAGACGAGTGGAAGAGCGTCTGTCCACTGTGAAACGTTTGAAGCTGATAATGAAGCTTTTAATTGTCGATGAAAACGTTCTACCAACCCGTTTGCTTGTGGGTGGTAGGCGGTCGTTCGGAAGCGCGTGATTCCTAAAAGTGAGTTGAGACAACGGAAAAGTCCAGATTCGAACTGGCGTCCGCGGTCTGTAGTGATTGTGGAAGGGCAGTCGACATTTGCTACCCATCGTTCGACGAAAGCGCGAGACACTGTTTCAGCAGTAATGTCCTTAATCGGAACTACTTCTGGCCATCGAGTAAAACGGTCTACGCATGTTAATAGATATGAGTATCCGTTTGAATCGGGTAACGGTCCTACCAAATCTGGATGAACGTGGTCGAAACGAGCGTCAGGGGTTTTGAAAGAACCTAAGGGACATTTGTTGTGTCTGATTACCTTAGATTTCTGACAGCTCACACTGGAGCGTGCCCACTCCCTCACGTCTTTATTCATGCCAGGCCAACAAAAGCGTTCGGCTATAAGTTTGACTGTTGTAAGAGCACCTGGATGAGAATGATTGTGCAACGTATTGAAGACGTTGCGTCGATGATGTTTTGATACTATTGAACGATCCCTACCTGTAGATGTGTCACAGACTAAGGTTTCCTTACCTGTTCCCATCTGCTAATACTTAGTTTAAGAGTTGTCGAGGATAACTCATCCTGAAGATCAATGTCTTCTTTTTGGAGCTGAGCGATTTTAAGAAGGTCAATTCGTTGGAAACTGTTCAATGAACTTATTCGAGACAAGGCATCTGCGACTACATTGTTTGCTCCAGAGATGTGTTATTTGTCTGAAGTAAACTGCGAAATGTAGTCCAGTTGTCGAGACTCTCGCAGTGAGTGCTTGTCTGAAGATGAACTTAAAGAGAAGGTAAGAGGTTTGTGATCGGTAAAAAGCGTGAATTCTCTTCCTTCGATGGAATGTTGGAAATGTCGTACAGCACAATACATAGCTAGGAGTTCCCTACCGAACGTACTGTACCTAGATTCCGCGTCTAGCAACCGTCTTGAGAAAACTCCTAAGGGTTGCCACGAGTTGTTAACCCATTGTTGTAAGACTACTCCGATTGCTGAGTCGGATGCGTCTACGGCGATACTAATGGGTGCTTGAGTGTCTTGATGCGCAAGCAGGGCTGCCTTAGCGATATATTCCTTAACTGTGGAGAATGCTTTTCGGGCGGTGTCGTCTAAACTAACTGAATTCGCAATTCCACGAAGTTGGTAGGTTAACGGTTTCATAAGGGGCGCACAATTTGAAATGAACCGTCTGTAGAAACTTACAAGTCTGTTAAAAGTTCACAACTGCTTGGTCGTGGTCTGTCCTGGATAATCCAGAATGGCCGCCACTTTGATTCTAAGGGGTCGGATGCCTTGGGCATCAATAGTGTGTCCTAAGAAGTCTAAGGAGTTGGTTCCGATTTGGCATTTCTGAATGTTTACAGTAATGCCATACCTTTGGAGTCGATCGAAAACAATGTCCAGATGCTTGAGATGTGATTCTCTGTCCAGACTTGCTATTAGACAGTCATCAACATACGCGTGTACGAAGTTGAGACCTCGGAAGACGTCGTCTATAAAACTTTGGAAGGTTTGAGCTGCATTTCTTAAACCAAAAGGCATTCGCAGGAATTCGTAAAGACCGAAAGGAGTGATGATGGCGGTTTTAGGAATGTCGTTGGTTGCTATCGGTATTTGGTTATAAGCGTTAACAAAGTCGATTTTTGAAAAGACAGTTGTACCTTTCAAGGTAGCTGTCAAGTCGTGAATATGAGGCAGCGGGTAACGATCGGGAATGGTTTTAGCATTCAGACGCCGATAATCACCAGTTGGCTGCCAACCATTGCTGTCCTTTTTAGGGACCATGTGCAATGGGGACGACCATGGACTATTTGATGGTCGAATTATCCCTAAGTCTATCATATGGTAGAATTCATATTTTGCTAACCTAAGCTTTTCGGTAGCGAGTCGGCGGGCTTTCGAGAATACAGGTGGTCCTGTAGTCGAGATGTGACATGTAACATTGCTGGTTACACAAGGCAATTTCGATTGCGATTGGTATATCCCGGGGTATTTGTCGAGTACTGATTGGTACAAGGGGTGTGACACACAAGTCGATGTTATCGAAGAGTTGGTCTAACCGTTGTCGGTCGGTTAGTTCTCCACATTTTAAAATCGATTGTTTGAGAATTTCGTATGGTTCGGAACACCACTAGTAAACATACTAGGTGTTACGTACCTGTTAAATTCGCGCGTTAATGCCTTAACTACCGCAAGGAATCGTGTGCGTGAGTCCGTGGTTCCGTGCATGCAAAAATCAACTTCTGCGTAGCAGAACCAGGACTCGATATTGTCGGGCCAAAATGGCGTTAACTGAATCGAAGTTGGGGAAACAGATTTCAACTTAAAAACCTTAGGAGAGTGTTCCGTCATAGTAATATAAAGAACGAAAAATGTCTAATTAAAATATATCCGGGAAAAAAATTTGCGAAAAAAAAGTATATCACGATATATAAAATTCAAATAAAGAATAAAAATGAATAATAATATTCCAAAAAGGAACGGACTCACAGTATATTGGCTTGGTGTACCAGATCACCTTAGGCTCACCACTGAAGATACGACGGATATTCTAGTTTAACGACTAGCTACCAGTAGTACCTTCTATAATCGAAACCCTTTTGGCCAAACAAAAATCAGAAGTCAGACGAGAAGAGGTAGGAAAGATATATTTGATTCGTTACCAATATATCGAGAGGCGTTCGTTCTTAACTGACTATGGAAACGTAGGAGCTGTGTCCCACGCCGAGTTGCAACGTGATCTGGTACGGATGCATGACCGGAAGCCTTCAGTTAAACAAGTCCACTTAAACAACGTGGTCAGCATCCAATGTCGAACACTTAGAAAGCTATCGATTTTGGGGAATTATTTACAGCTACAGGGTACTGGTGATCTTGATGGACAAGCAATTTTTCAATAAACCCTTCTCGGTCTGAATCTCGACATTCATATGTATCAGATGACATTTAGTTTGCAAAAATCGAATGCAATTTATTTTCAGGTGTGATCAATTTGTTGAAAATGTAAGGTTTCGTGTATAAGTTCGACACGTTCCAAAGCGAACCGAGAA